GTCCTCGACTCAAGTCCATTACATCCAGTGGTCGTCCCCACAGACGCATTCATATGTTGTTGTTATAGATTCAGCTACTCGGAACAAGTTCCAAGTAGCACGGGCTATGGTGAGCCCGTAACTTACCTGGCACAGGAACGGGGCAAGTAGCACGGGCTTTGGTGAGCCCGTAGTTGCGCATTCATAAGTTTTTACATGCTGTTCATTCAAAACGAGAATTTTCTCAAATACAAATTAATAATAAAATATATTAGCATATTGTGCATATATAGGCATAGGTTAGGTTAGTTTAGGTGTTTATGTTCTGTTGGCGATTATTTGTATTTGTAGTACGTGAGTGAAACATTTACAGCGTTGTATTTTTTTTTTTTTTAGATATATACAAGAGTTGTTACATTCTTGTACAGCCACTAGTACGCGTAGCGTTTCGGGCAGGTCCCTGGAATACGACCCCCGCCGCGAAGAATAGTTTTTACAACCAAGTACACATTTTACTGTTAAGTTAAACAGAGGCTACAGTTAAGGATTTGCGCCCAGTAAATCCTCCCCGGCCAGGATACGAACCCATGACAAAGCGCTGGCGGAACGCCGAGTGTCTTACCACTACACCACGGACACTGATGATCAAGTTCGAACAAAATTCGTCAGTGAAGCACTTGTTCTGGAAGTGTTGGAACGAAATCAGTTGTAAGTTGTGTGTAAACTGTTTTTCACTCATAAACAGGGGGTTTGGCGGGTGCATAGAATCACTTTTGGGTCTATTTGGAGGACGGGCTGAAGTGGCTTGTTTGATAAATGCTTAGGGTATAGAGGGGAATTGTCTTACTGTGGATGAAATGCTAAGTGATCATTTTGCATTACAAATACAGCTTAAACTAGATAAAAAGCATGCCTGCCTTCAGAGGAAAAGGTTAAAGTTTAATGAGGGAGAATTAAGGGGTCTTGTTGGCCATATTAAGTCTTGGTATGATACTTATAAGCCAGTTTCGGCAGAAGCATTTTATGAAGATTTAATTAAGGAGGTCGATGTATTTAATGCAACATTGAACCGGAAACCATCTAGTATAAAAAGGCATCCCCCCAGAAAAGAAAATTATATACATGACAAGATGCTTAAGGGGTGGACATTAACAATGAGGAGAGCTCACAGGGATTGGAATAGGAATGGTAGGACTGAGGAAGGGAAGAATGCTTTACTGGCAGTTGCTAGGCTGTGTGGGGAGAAGAGAAAGGAAATTAGGAGCAAGTATTGGCAGGAATTTGCAGAGAAAGTTGGGAGTAACAGAAACTTGAAGGAAATCTGGCAAGACGTAAATAAAATAAGGGGTAAAAAGCACAATTTTGTTGCACATCCAGACCCGCAAGGAATTGCAAATGGGCTCGTAAATAAATGGGCGGAAGCTGCCAAACTTAGTTCATTACCCGCTGTAACGAGAGAGTCATTAGATTCTTGGAAAGATTTAAGAGCACCCATGAGCACCACACCAGAAATAAATACAGTTTTGATATTCCTAGAGTACGTCTTAATCAAACTAGAAATGCTCTGCAAATCAAGGGGCCCAGAATGTGGAATGACCTTCCCAACCATGTTAAAGACTGTACCTCTCTCAACCAGTTTAAGATAAAAACTAAACACTACCTAATAAATTCCCTGTAATCTACCTCACTCCTCTATTGTCAACCCATGTCTGTTATTTTCTTTTTTTTTAATCAACACTGTTTGTCAACCTATTGTATTTGTGCTGCTTTTTCAGTCATGTTCCCCCTTTTTTTATCTTTATTTGTATTTGTTCTCAACACTTTTTATTCTTTATGCTCAATTAGTATTAAGTTCTAGATATTAATGTTTTTCTTGCCCGAAACGCATTGCGTAATAGTGGCTTTAGGCATTGTATGTACTAGCTCTATCTATATATCAATCCATTAATGTAACATCACTTGTATGTATATACCTTACCTGAATAAACATCTGAATCTGAATCTGAATCTGAATCTAAGAAAGGATTTTATACTTATAGCAGGTAACAGTGGTAATGTCACTTGCACAGTGACATTACCAGAGAAGAACTAATAATGGCGATTAAAGTTGGGAAATCTACAGCACCTGGGGAGGATGGAGTAACTTATGAAATACTTAATGAACTTGCCACTATGACGAAAAGCCCACTTTTAGACCTCTTTAATATTAGTTATAAAGAGAGCAGTATTCCCAGTAAATGGAAAAAAGCTATGATCATCCCTATCCCTAAAGCCAATGGAGAGTATAGACCTGTGTCTTTAACCTCGTGTTTTTGTAAAATGATGGAGAGGATCATTTTAAATAGACTTTTATATGTAATAGGTGATCAGCTGTCTAGTAATTTGTTCGGGTTCCCCAAAGGAAAAAGTACCTCTGATTGTATTATTAAATGTCTAGCTAATGAAAATGATTATTATAGAATTTTCATTGATTTACAAGGAGCTTTTGATAAAGCCAACAAAGAGGTTATTTTATATGAATTAGCTAGTCTTGGTGTTAAAGGGAAATTATTGCGCTGGATAGGGGATTATCTTTACGAAAGGAAGGCTCAGGTGTGGTATCAAGGTTGTATGTCAGGTGTGAGGTCTTTTGAACTCGGCACACCTCAGGGAGGAGTGTTGAGTCCCACCCTGTTTAATGTACTAATGAATAAGATAGCATCTGAGAGATACTCAAATGGGGTAACTCCGATCATATATGCCGATGATATTTTGTTTCAGGGCAAAGATATTTCAAAGGTTCAAACAGTGTTGGACAATTTCGGAAACCTGTGTCACCATATGGGATTGGTGGTTAATGAAAACAAAACTAAGTTTGAATGTAGAAGTCGGAGCCCCATTGTTTTGAAAATAAACGATAAAAATATAGAGAGAGTTAATATATATAAATATTTAGGCATATATGTTGGATATACCCATGAGAGTTTGGAAGCTGAGATGAACAGACTGTTGGGTCAATGTCGGAAGAGATTACAACCTCTGAAGGCTTTGGCATGCTGTGGAAAGGGAGTGGGAGTCCCTGTGCTACGAATGTTATACTTGAGTACTGTAAGATCTCTTATTGATTATGCTGCACCTGTCATTTCTTGTTTTGGTAAAGGTAGGATGGGCAAGTTGGAGAAGGTACAAAATGAAGCCATGAGAATTATCTTAGGATGCCCAAGAAATGCTATGATTGAGATAATGAGGATGGAGTTGAATCTGCAGAGTATTGGGGATAGAATTTCAGAGATAAATGTAGCCTCTGCCATTAGATTAATGAGAGGTGGGGGAGCTAATGAATTAATCCTCTCGGTTCAAAAGGTGGGAAGTAGTGAACAGTGTATGATGAAGAAGAGAGTATATATGAATAAATTATGTCATAATGTTATAAAGTATGATGTTATTACAGAGTGTGTTGCTGTGCCCAAGAGAAAATTTACACCACCATGGGAGGATTGTAATGTAGATGTAGTAATTACTCCCTTGCATAAGAAAAAAAGTATGTATGAAATAGGAGAGCTGAGGGCAACATATGATTGTATAATTAGAAAACTGCCTACGGAAAACACTCTACATGTATATTGTGATGGGTCAGTAGCTAGGGATGGGAAGGCAGGATGTGGAGTCTTGATTAGGGAGTACACTGACATCGGCACTGTAGATACTGTTATTGGACGCCGCTTAACTGACAATGTCTCTTCAACGCAGGCTGAACTCCAAGGAGTATTAGCAGGATTACAGGAAGTAGTCAAATGTGGTAAAAATGCTTGCTTCTTTATTAACAGCAGAGGAGCGTTAGAGTCTTTAAATAGCAGACGCCCAGTATATCAGAATATTGTGATAGAGTGTAGAGAGAATGTTAAGAGACTAGAAAACACTGGGTATAAAGTAAGATTCATGTGGATCCCTTCACATGTGGGAATACTGTTGAATGAGGTAGTTGATGACATAGCGAAGAGAGCCACTGAAAAAACTCTTGTTGATGTTGTATGTCAGTTAACCTTGAAACAAATAAAAACAAGACTCAAGGTGATTCAGGAGGGTGAAGAAATGATAAAAAGAATGGCAATGGTGGACAGTAGTAACACACTTAAGAATTATTCAATAATAAATACAAATTCGTCCTTCACTTATGGTAAAGGGAAGTCTACTTGGAAGGATTCCATTTACATGAGATTACGATTAGGATATAAATATATCTGGCAATACGGTGTTGATGTCAGTGAAAAAGATAAGGAGTGTAAATTATGTAGTATGCCGCACGCCCACACCTTAGAACATTATGTATTAGTGTCACCTTATTGAAAAATATAGAAATAAGGAAATAAATAGTGTACCACATCAAATTGTTTGGATGTGTGATAATGATATAATAGACAGTATACTTAGGAGCTACAAGAATTTTGCCCCAAGAATGTAACAATTATATGCTGTACTTGCTGTATGCAATGTTAAATGGGATTCTTGTACTGTTATATGTCTATTTGTACTCACTGAATTTGTGCGCCCCTTGAGGGACTTGAAGTAGAGGGGGGTAGAAATAGCCTAAGCTACTCTATCCCTTTGAGATGTATTTATTGCTTATCTCAATAAACATACTTGAACTTGAACTTGAAATGTCTCCCGGACCAAATGGTGCTCAATATACATTTAAGATTTTCTGTATGTATAAACTGGCTGCCTGTTCCCCGACAAAATAAATTAGTATTAAATTCAGGTAAATAAAAGTCGATATGTATTTAAAACCAATTTAATATAGTCTACCATAAGATTATAAAACTAGTTTTCTGTAACGTCGTGTTTATATTAGATAAGTAGCAGTTAGGTAAGACACTAAATTTAAATTTTATGAAATACATATTACTGAAAGGCCATATATTTTAAGCTGGACTAAATTAATTATAATATAAAAAATAAAAATATGTTGCATTTACTAAGCAAAATGTCATAGAATGATGAGTTAATATGTGAAGTTAAGTGTTCGCTTGAGCCTCTGGGATGACAGGAGGACCAATCAGTGCGAGACGAGGAGATGAACACAGTTTAAACCTGGTGTGAGGTGTGTGTGTGTCGTTAATACTCTCCCTGGCGAGCTTCTGCGCCTCCTGCTGCTGTGTGTGTCCCTCCAGCGGCCAGGTTGCCTCGTCCTGCAGGTGAAGAACCTTCCACACTGTTAAACATAACATTATTGTTAAATTACATCACTTGTCTGTAGTCACTCTCTTCAATACATTGCAGTACATCGGATATTTATCTGAATTTACCTGAGGGCCACTATCTCTAGTGGCCTCGACGAGAACAGGAAGCCGGCGGCTTGTTTAAGGTCTTCATTGTTCCTGACGATTTTTTCCAACTGGATTTTGAACGGCAGTATTCTTGGCATATACGGCTTCGGCGGGTAGGTGGTTCCATGGGTTAATAACCTTGTGTGTGGAAAAGCATCTCCTGTTCTCAGTCCTACAGTGTGGCTTATTGAGCTTGACACCGTTGTTCCTTGTGTTACATCTGACCTTTTGAACAAATTGTCTGGATCAATATCCTGCAATTTGTTCAGTACAGTATTTCAAGTTTCAATGAGCTCCTCATGTCTGGTTTGCAGTGTTGTAACGTACGGTTATGTTACGTTGTTGGGTAGATTAGATACAGTGTTTGGTGGGTTTTCATATTCATTTAGTAGTCTTGGATACAGCAGTCAGTTGTTGGCAGTGTTGTAGACGTTGAAACGGAGTTTGGAGCAGTGAGGCTGAGTGAGGCCGAAGTCACGGAGCTCTATGCAGGAGAGAGTGGCGGCCCGATCAGGAATGGTGAGTGTCTAAACACGATGGGGAGCGAGAGCATTGTAGCTCGATGGGGTTGTAGTCTGTCTGCTCTGTCTAATTTTTGTTGCCCGATGTTACACTTTCTCCAAAGCAGCTATTTCCTTCTGAAGGTGAGGTCTCCATGCCTGGATACAATAATCAAAGTGAGGGCGCACCAGAGATTTATGCAGATGAATAACTGCCTTACTACCTTCCCGCCAAACACACATCGAAACTATGACGTTGGTTCAACGTTCGAACAAGTTTTAACACCTAACCAGTTATAACAACCAATATAGCAAGTTGTAACAACGTTTTAATACGTCATAAACACGTTAAGTCAAGATGTAACAACTTTATTACGTTGTAACAAGCGGAAAATAGAGACAGTTTCGGTTTGTGTTTCCAGGGTTGTTACACTATGGGTGAAAAGGTATTGCCTGTTTTCTTCCCTGCATCATGGCAGATGTCAGTACATTTCTGTGAATGATGCTATGATGCACTGCCCTTAAATATTGCCATTCCACAGTATACTATAAAGGGTTCACTCCTCTCATTTAAGGAACTTGGTACATCATTGCCATATTTACTAGGTAAATTCAGGTAACTACATATGTGATTTAGAAAGATCTATGCAACACCTTAAGCCAATACTCATTGCTGATGATACAACCTTTTATTTTCTCAAACATGATCCCAGTTATCCAGACACAATACACTAAAATAAAAAAAAAAGTCTACATGTGGCTGACCACAAACACTTGCCCTTAACACTGATAACATAGGGCATACAGTATAGTACGTATTGGGAAACTCTGCCAGTCAAATAGATGAAATGATAAAAAATACCAAAAACCAAGAGCAGAGCAAAAGGGAAATTGCTTGGCATACTCCTGGACAACAAATTGAACTTCAGTTGCTTCAGAACTTTTGTGTTTCGTATTTTCCTGTTGTCAGGAACAAAATGCCTGTACTGTATTTTAGCTTATCGATGTCCCTCTTGGCCAGTAATTGACCCATGGTGCAATCTATAGCAATTGGCTAACTCTGGTACAGTACCTGTTTACTACTAGGTAAATATAGGCATTAGGTGATAGGAAATGTCCAGATGCTCATGCCCTGCTATGGAGATTGACTCCAGGTGATGATGTAGACTCCTATACTATTATATCTGTACCTTGCTTTGTCCTGATGACACCAAACTTCACTCGTCTAACCATCTCGCTTATGGTATCTGTGCCCGGGGACCTACGACTCAAAACTACTTCAGACACATGTTTACTCGATACAAATTAGCAATTAGAACAATAACACACTCCAACCCCAGACAGCATGCTGCACCCATAAATCCATGAACATGCTAAATATACAACACGGCACATACTGCACTTAAATGTTCTGTACTCTCTATAGAACTCTGAAGTACAATACTACTCCTGCCCTCAAACATTCCTTAGGGGACTGTAATAGAACCCATGGGCACCACATGAGAAATGGGTACAGTACTGTATACTGTATTTTTTATACAAAAGCCTAACTGTACTAAAGCAGAAGTTCGATAAAATGCTGTATAGTACTGTAATTATATTAACAATTTAAAAGAGAAATAAAGAAATATTTTATTAGCATAAAGTACTGTAGTTTATATATCTGATTTACCAAATAACATTTTATCATGTACAATATATATTTCTTCATCATAATAAAACCAATTGTTTTCCTGTTATTGTTAGTATGTATTAAATACATGCTGTAAATGGGTTTTTATAATTATGTGCCACTAAGCTATAGAATCTAAAATGAAGTACTGTAGTCTGTTCCTTTTATCATTAAGCATCACTAAAAACTATTGTCTGCAAAGTTTTAAAATTTTGTTAATTTATTGAATATACAGTATATTTTTAGATATAATGACCAAAGTTTACACTTAAACAAGTCTCCTAGTACACTGCAGTATACTGTACTGTATACTATGTAGGGTATTTATCTTATATTGTGTTCACAATGGATATGATGTATAAATGTTATAAAAGTATAAATTCTTGTACAGCACCTTTGACAGGAACCATGGAAGAGCCTGGCGTGGAGCCAATTGTTAAGCGCATCAGACACTTGAGCACTCTGGTGAGCAGCTCGGGACTGGACGTTGACTCGGACGTGTCGGCCCGACAGCTTGTTGGCCAAGAGTGGCTCCTGGATGCTCTCCTTGTGCTGTATGAAGAGTGCAACAATGATCAACTCAAGCAGGAAAAATGCATAGCCGATTTTGTGGATAAATGTAAGGAATTATTTTAAATCTGTTCTTAAATAGTGGATGCTTTACTCTTGTACAGTATTTTGTTCTAGGATTAGTTTTGTTGAAAGGTACATCAGCAATGGTGGAGAAACTTGTTTAACCAGAAAGTTGCTGTGCATATGGTTCTTTCAGTTATATAATATTTGTATAAGGTGATGAACAAATTTACTCAATTCTTTCCTTTTCAGATCGCAGCACTGTTCATGAACTACGAAAATTAAGAGTCAACTTGAATGATTTTGAGCAGAAGAAAGTAATTGGGAAAGGCCACTTTGGCATTGTGCAAGTAGTTAGAGAGAAAGCCACCGGAAATGTGTTTGCACTCAAGAGTCTTAGGAAATCGGACACAATAACACGGCAACATGTAAGTGGTTTGAACTCTTAACTTATTGGGATAGTAAAGGGCAGTACACTAGGTAATAATTACTAGGTAAAATGCCACAAACCTGCTGAATACAAGCAGGTAACTTCTTGGTTGAGGAAGAGGCATTCCTGGAGGTGATGTTTATAGTGATCTCTTGAAAGATGTGTTAATATTTTGTACTTTTTAAATAATACAGTATTATTAAATGGAATTGAATAAACTCTAATTTTCACCTATTATTCTAATTTATAAATTCAGTGCTTGAAGAAAATAGACATTGAGGCTCTTGAGATGCAGCATTGAATATCATAGTGAAATGAAAGTTGCACTAGGCAGCTAAAACATCATAAATTGTTACACTTCAGTAATGAAGGTTTTCACATTGTGTAACACTCGTACATCTTGGAAATTGTTTCATGTTGAATACAGCACATAGTATGGCTTTGAATGTGTGATAGTGTTACAGTGGTTAGTATTGCTGATCTACTGGATTACATTAGATCTGTCAGTGGTTGGCAGTAGCTGTTCATCCCTCCTTATAGCGGGTAGATAATGGGTTATAAAATGTCTGGACAGTAATTAACACACTACTGTGATAGGCACCTCTAAAATGAGTCAGTGGGTATAAATTGTACAGATATTTTGTACTATATATTTTTGTTGCCCCTTGTCTCTTGAATTAAGACAGTATGGGATTATTAGTTAAATGTGTTAACTTTACAAATTCTTTCCTAATGAACACTTGACCTACATGTTAAAAACAGGAAAAATTACATTCTGACCTTCCTGGAATCTTGTCATATGTAGGTTATGGTCTTGGTCAGACCAGAAATTCATAATGCCATTTCTAAATTTACTGTTCTGTTTATTCCATTCATGTTATTACAGCTTAATTTTTTCTGCAGATTGCCTTTTATGAAGAAGAAAGGGACATCATGGCAAAGAGCACCTCTTTCTGGATAACGCAGCTGCAATATGCCTTTCAGGTAAGCTGCCCTTATGTTGTGAAGAAAAGAAGTAGGTAAAGTACCCATAAGTTGTAATGAAAGTTGTAAATTATCAGAAAGCTTGTTTACTATTGTATGAAGCTGAGCATTTAAGAGTACAAAATGATTAGGGCAAAGCCATGGTGAATTTTGAATATTTATAGAATCTCTGTACAATATTGGAGACGGAGTCATAATAACGTGGCTGAAGATATGAAGACTAAACCATGTACCAGAACATGAGGAGACTACGACGTTTCGGTCCGTCCTGGGCCATTATCAAGTTGATTGTGTGATCTTTACGTGATAATGGACACAATTGACTTAATAATGGTCCAGAACAGACTGAAATGTTGTCTCCATTTTCTGGTGTGTATTCACCTAGTTTTCACCTAGTTGTGCTTGCGGGGATTGAGCTTTGCTCTTTCGGCCCGCCTCTCAACTGTCACTAACTATGTACTATTTCTCTCTCTCTCTCCCCCCCCCCCCCCACACACACACACACACACACACACACTGGCCAACATACGAACGGCATTTAGAAACTTGTGTAAAGAATCATTCAGAACTTTGTATACCACATATGTCAGGCCAATCCTGGAGTATGCAGCCCCAGCATGGAGTCCATATCTAGTCAAGGATAAGACTAAACTGGAAAAGGTTCAAAGGTTTGCCACCAGACTAGTACCCGAGCTGAGAGGTATGAGCTACGAGGAGAGACTACGGGAATTAAACCTCACCGCTGGAAGACAGAAGAGTTAGGGGGGACATGATCACCACATTCAAGATTCTGAAGGGAATTGATAGGGTAGATAAAGACAGTCTATTTAACACAAGGGGAACACGCACAAGGGGACACAGGTGGAAACTGAGTGCCCAAATGAGCCACAGAGATATTAGAAAGAACTTTTTTAGTGTCAGAGTGGTTGACAAATGGAATGCATTAGGAAGTGATGTGGCTAGGTCACAGGGGCATCAGAGTGAAAGAAACTCTGGCCATTTTTGTTTCTCGCCGGCGCCGGGAATTGAACCCTGGCCACAGGATTGTGTCCAGTGTGCTATCCACACAGCCACCGACGCCCGTGTGGTTTAGTCTTCTGTACAGTCTTGGTATAGTGCTAGCTACTCCTCCCCAATCCCACTTATATTTGCCTAACATTATATAATTTTTTTTTAAACCTTAGGCAGCGGTTATAGTCTTATGTTGATTGGTGGGGTAATGCAGTTGTCATCATATGATTAAAACAATTATTGTCTGGGTTTTACACGTGTATGATGCAAATAAGGATATAATGCCTCTGTGGATGTAATGGAGTTTACCTTGACCCGTGAAAAAGTCCTGCTATCATTTAATGGGTACATTACTTGGTGAATGCTGTTATCGTCATACATATTACTAGGTGAATGCGATCTTTGTATAAAATTCCTTCATAATTACATATGTATACCAATGATGTTCATATGGTTTCCACAACTCTCTATGGTTGTAATGAGGTATTCTGGGTAAACCAATCATCAGTTGAACTCTTATCATGCCTTACGTGTACCAGGAGCCTGACCTCATCTGTGGAGGCCACATTGGTGACTTATGCCTTGGTTTCCATCTATTCTCAAGCCCATGTGATGCCAATTAAGTCGTCGCCCAGAGCATAACACTGTTGAATATTATGTTCATAATCTTTTCACTAATCTATTCTAGTTGTTGTGGAGTATATCGGGTAAATCGGTCCTCAATGAAACATTATCATATGTTATGTGAATTATGTGTTTTATCAAGTTCTTCAGCACACACACTTGTAAATAAAGAGAAACAAGTAATAAACAGTGAAACATCCAAGGATAACACGGGAAGCATCGGTAAAGTCGGGCACCATGTGTTGACAGATGCTAGACACGGCCACCACGCAACCTTCCAGAGTGCCTCCACCCGGTGAAACGATAAATGTTCACATATCATGTTTTTCTTACATTTTGCATATAAATTAAAAACTCTGTAATGGATTTTTTTTTTTTTTTTAAATTTGGTCATAAGCAGGAATGACCATTTTGCAATAGTTGTTGTCTAAGAGTTAATTAATGGCTACTGTATGTGTGTGTGTGTATATACTGCACTATTAACTCCCATACTGCTCTCACCAAGATACAGTACCTTGTTCAATGGGTGGTGCGCTCACTGAGAAAACTTGTTTGTAGGTATAGCAAACAATTCAAAAGTCTAGAGTACATAGGGCTCGCATCTGCTTCCTCGGGCCTCCAGTAAACAGACGTTATCTTGAAAAGCGATAGTCCCTCCTGGCTGTGATAGCCTAGGTTGTGAGTGAGTGTCCAAGGATTTCCAAGGCATTCAGTATAATTCTCCGTATCACACTGAATGCTGGTGCTAAACATGGCTCCATACTACTCTTTCTCACCCTCTGGATGACAATCACTTGCAAATATCTTATTTTTTTGCAGGATGACTTGCAGTTATACCTTGTGATGGAGTTCCATCCTGGAGGTGATCTGTTGTCACTCTTGGATCGGTATGATGGCTTTTTCTCTGAGGACATGGCCCGCTTCTACCTGGCAGAAATTACACTGGCAATTCATGCATTACATTCCATGGGTTACGTTCACAGGTAAGGAAGAACTTTGCTACATTAAAATTAGTATTTATGCCCATCAACCTGGCCCCTCTGCTAACGAGATGGGTGACATTTTTATACTGTTATTTCTATCTGGTAGAACCTACAGTTTACCTTGGAAACAGACAATTAAATATTCCTTGCCTAGACATGAATATGCAAGGTTTGTGATGTACTCACCTAGTTGTGTAGGGGTTGACCGTTGGATCTTTGGTCCCGCCTCTCAACTGTCAATCAACTGGTGTACAGATTCTTAAGCCTATTGGGCTCTATCAAATCTTCACTTGAAACTATGTATGGAGTCTTCCTCCACTGCATCACTGCCTAATGCATTCCATTTGTTAACTCCTGACACTGAAAAAATTCTTTCTAAATGTCTCTGTAGCTAAATGTTTCAGTAGGATACTAAGTTTCCACCTGTGTCCCTTTGTGTTCCACCCATGCTAAATAGGTTCTTTGTCCACCCTGTCAATTCCTCTGAAACTTTTGTAGGTGGTGATCATGTTTCCCCGTACTCTTGTCTTCCAGGGACATGGGGTTTAGCTCCCATAGCCATGCATCGTAGCTCATACCTCTCGTGAGCAAATCCACAAGGCCCGTGATGAGGGGTTCCATGACAGGTGGCAGCGGTATCATACCTCTGAATCTTCTCAATGCACTCCAGTTCAAAATCTACAAAACCAACTTCTTAAAATTATTTCACTTTTACTCACCTTGATAAAAGGATGAAAAGAGGCATAATAATCAGGTTCCTTCTTAGGACCTTTAGAATTTGTAGCTCTGAGACAAGGATCAATATATTAGTGAATGTGTCCTCACCTTTGAGGCTTTGTATATTTCATTAGAGAATGCAATAAGAGGGGGCAACAAATTTACAGTAACACCAATAGACTGGAGCGAGAACAATGGCTCGTCCTTTTAATGTGACACTGTAATCATCATCATTAACACTCGCTCATCTTAGACAGGTAAGCAGTTTGCTAAAGTTGGTTTATATCCAAATTAAGAACAAGAAGTTATGGTTCAAAGTGTTGCATTTTGGTAAATGGGCTATTTTGTTCAGAAAATTTATGAGCAGTGAACTGGAGGTCCTTAATTGGGTCCCACAAGATGTAAAAAGAAAAAAAAAGATAAAAAGATTTGCAAAGTTGACTTGGGGAGAGAAAATTTAACCATGGAGCACTGCAGCAAGCCTGTTGGCCTGTCCTAAATGAGTCCCAAAGGTTCATGATGTAAAATTTGAGCATATAGAGATGATACACAGAATATAAATAGCCTGGTATGTTGTCTGGCACAATTGGGGTTGATGGACTAGAAATGGTAAATGTTTGGCAATGAACTAGATCAAATACTTACCATTTTGTGGCAGTCAATTTTTGTAAAGTGCTCGCTCGCACTTTGAGCACAAAATGGTTATTAAACCTATCCTGGAATATGGCTTGATCTACTTAAAAATTTATCAAAGCATCTTTTTAAATTGCAAGAAAAGATCTGGCCCCTTTAAAGCTTGAATATTCATACTTTTGAAAATGCAACAATGAATTTTGTGCACCAATGCACCAAAACTATCACATTTGAAAAGAGAGGGACAACATTTCAGTCTAAAACGGACCAAAATGTTCGCTCTTCCTTTCTTTTCACCTGCGAGAGTTGGATGTTTAATTTTTAGCTATGTTATTGTGACAGTCTGCACAGGATGCTAAGCCTCTGAACTTGTGTTGCTTTAAATAGTATTATAGTTTGTATGAATGATATGAACATAAACAAAAGAATTTTGCTGAAGTCTTATTCTAGGCATTTAAGTATCACTTGCTCTATTAGCCAAATTATTTATAATGGCAGTGTAATAAATTATAATTTGTCTTGGTTTTTAGGGACATTAAGCCTGACAACATTCTTATTGACCGTTGTGGACATATCAAGCTGGCAGACTTTGGGTCTTCGGCAAAACTTACATCCAGTGGAGTTGTGCGAAGTAAAATGCCCGTAGGAACTGCTGACTATATAGCACCGGAGGTTCTCCAGTCGGTCAATGATATGGCCGGAGACATAACATACGGGGTAAGTATACTTTCCAACTTTCTCGGCATAACAACTGGTAAATAAGAGATTCTCGTGCAAATGTGGCTGTATCCTCATGAAAGTGCATGCGTGTAGGTACATGCTCAAATGTACCTATGTGAGCATGCAGCGGAGAATATTTATCCACTTATAAATGATTGATAACTTGGTTAATTGTGACAGCTGTTACAACAGCCTTATGCAAAAGTGTCAGTGTAATGCCTTTATAAATGAAACTAATTTTTTTTTTTTTTTTTTTTTTATATACAGATTGAGTGTGACCTTTGGTCTCTGGGAATAATGGCTTATGAAATGCTATATGGCCGCACACCATTTAAAGGAGATCAAGTTGGAACAACCTACAGTAGTATCATGGATCATAAAGTAAGTCTTGCCTTTTATTAAACAAGCGTTCTATATGTTTAATGAATTGCTAAAGTTGATTTCTTGACAATGAATGATAGGAGATGCAATATTCTATTTTTTTTCCACATCTGGTCTGTTCTCGCATCATAATACAAATTTCCATCTAGTCTATATACTGTAACACTCTTTATTATTGCTAAATGGACTGTATCAAATTTGACATTGCTCAAATTATTTACACTAGGCCTATACATTAGGTTTATGCTCTTTGTTTACGTTCTTAGCTTGACTTCCCTCAAGACCACATACATATACTGAATAACCTGTGTGACATCTCGCAGTCCTGGCATACACTTTATATCAAACCACTCGCTCATTTACAGCATTAATTTTCATATGCACTGCCTTGTACATGGAAACTTATCACATCATTTAGACACAGTTGACTAGCCCTATACATTGGTCTCCATTGTCCATTCTATATTAACTTTTGTCATGTGCACTTTCCCCAGACTATTAAAACTATGTACTCATTATAATCTGTCCGACATGCTTTCTGTCGGTTATTTTTATACGAACCACAATACCCTCTTTGTTCATCACTGATAAATATCCCTAATTTACTGCACTTTTTGTATGACTATTCTGCTATACATTTTGCCCACTGCACTTTGTAAACTAATGCCTTTTTAATTTTCACTTATGGTCACTTTGGTTTATATAAAATTTTACAATTATTTTCCTGTCTTGTGCAGTTTTGTAGTCCTTGCTTCCTGGCAAATTTTCTGCACCCACTGTTCCTTTTTCTCCAACATACAATAATTTTTGTAGAATTTACATATTTTGGCTTCTCCCCTCTTCTATATTGGCTGTCATACGATCATGCACTCTCCTCACACCTTCAAATCTAATCATGTTGACATTGGTATTACTTTTATTGCTTCCACCCATCAAACTTTCAAGTATTCTCCTCACCTTTTTTCTAATGTATAGAAGGATTATTAGGTGATTTTATAATTTCCATTTCAGAATACACTTGTATTTGATGCCAACAATGAAAACCCAGTGAGTGAATCGGCTAAGGATTTGATTCGTAATTTGTTGGTAGATTCAAACCACCGTCTAAGCCATTCGGGTCTCCTGCAGCACAAGTTCTTCCTCCATATTAACTGGAATGATCTTAGAAATTGTAAGCTTTACTTATTATATTACACATTCTGGTAATCTATTGAAGCTTGTTTTAATGTAATGTATTACTAGTATTATTATGGTATTACCCTCCCCTCTCCCTTCACTTTCTCTTTCTGATTTCTGTTCTTTATTATGATATAGATTCCTTCTGGTCTCCTGTCATATTTTTTCATTATCATTACCTTGCACTTGGTTGTTAGTTATTTCTTGGTTATACTGTAACATGGTTGTTACAGTTCAACCCCAACATGTATGGGCCTAATTCTGAAGTTTGTAAAGGTCTTTTTGTAGGGCTCGACAGGCCTTAGTTGCTACTTTCCTCATTAGCTTGGCATTTACAGTATATGCAAATATTGACATGCATAAATTCACTCTTGAGTAGGTCGGTCACAAAGCTTCAGAACAGCAATGGGCCTAAGATAATGTCTAGTCCTGTTTCTGTTGGGGAACTTAACTTGCAACATTCTACTAGTTTGACTTCTGTGACTTATTTTTCCTGTTTATCATTTATTTCCTTACCCAGTTTCTTGTTATCCTAGCTTGCCTCTCCATCTTGTACACAAGACTTCTATGAGGTACATTAGCAAATGCTTTGGGTAGCAAGCATTTTTTGTTTTTTTCTAGATTGTTGGTTTCCATTTTCCTGTTGTTTTATTGGTGACATTGTCATGAAAGTATTGACAAGTGTCATATATGATTGTTACCCTCTAAAGTTGGGGTGTCCCTTCCATAATGAAGATTATCCTTACCAGTTGCTTCACCAATTTCTTTCTGATTAATTTCTCCAAGGCTTATCCTAGATATTGGCACTCATTCCTGGTCTTAACACTTGTTCCTGTGTGTTCTTAGCTCAGTGGTCAGTTCACTTGGCTCTCGACTATATGGTCGTAGGTTGGATTCCCCATGTAGGGGAGACATTTGGGCACATTTCCTTGCACTTTGATACCTCTACTTGCATTGCAGTAAATAGGTACCCGGGAGTTAGGCAACTGTTATGGGTTGCATCCTGAGAAAGGTCAGTCATTAGCCTAGGAGGGAACTCGATAAGCCTAACGGGCTTCCTGTCCCCCAACAATTGGGAACGCGTTCTTGCATATTGAGCCTAGACCTAATTCTAGACCCTGGTTAATTACCTCACTCCTGAGTAATCTATTTGCACAAGGTCCAAATGTTGGCACTCGTACTAGAAATGATGTTTACAGGACAGTTATGGGGGTGCATAATAGACGAACTAAACTAACTTACCAGAATGGTGGTTCAAGTCCCACTTCATATAGGTTTGAAGGTTCAGAGTGGTATGTAGGTTCACTCGCACTACCACTGAGTGTAGTAGGAGTATCTCTTGCCTCTGCAGACTTTTGTTTAGCTTTTAATTTCTAATCTACTCGGGGTGTTAAGTCGTGGACGTCTTTCTTACCAGCCGGTCGTCTCTCGGAACTCAACTAATACGTGCCTTATTGCCTTCTTTGCAGCTGCTCCACCATTTGTTCCTGTTGTCAACGGAGTAGATGACACAAGTAATTTTGAGGAGTTTGAAAATGAGAAGAGACTACCTAGTGTTGATGCCTTTCTTATCAGGCAAGGATTCACAGGGAAGAATCTTCCTTTTGTGGGCTTTACCTACAACAGGAAACAAGAAAATGGTGAAGGGTGAGTGTATAAAACTGTTTAAATCTTGGTGTGTTATAATTTTTGTTAGTTTATATTATTTACCTATTTCTTTTATCCTGTAATATATTCTAATGTTGTATTTATAATAATAATAATGTTTATTCGGGTAAAAGTACATATATACAAAATGAGTTACAAACAGAATGTTTGATTTTTAGATAGAGCTACAGTACTGTATTTACATTTAGAGGTTTAATGTTCTGCCAATGAGAGCCATGCCTTGCATCCATATCTATTGACACTTTTCTCTGTTGATCTCATGCATTCAAACCACATCTACTCCATTCACATACATCTGGCCAGACTGGTTATAGGAAAACTTATCTTAATTTGCCATGAGTACATGATTAAATTAATATTTTTTATGATAACATTACATAAATTTGCAGAAGCTGTTCCTGTAAATCCCGAGGTAATGCAGCAATAAACATATCGATTCTTGATGAATCAATCAGAGAACCATCATACCTAGAAGCCCAGCTGAAGGCTCAGAAGAAGGAAAATCATGAACTTAAATATAAGGTGACAGTGCATTGATTATTGTATGTCTTTACAAGATGGATTGTATGTCTTTAAGCCACAGTAAGTTATCGTTCATTGTCTTTATAGATGGCTCGTTCACCATTTCTTCCATGTATCTTAATTTGTACATGAGATGATCCTTATGTTTTCTATTCTCAATGTGCTTCTGACACACTCCTAGTTAGTCTTCCTCTCTTCGTCTTTACTCATGAAGCGTTTTGGCACTTTTTGTGACATTTCAAACACTATACATAATCAACAGAGAGGAAGTAGGCTAATTATAGGAATGGATAACCAAGCCAGGGAGGAAATACAGTAATTGCAAGTGAGAGAGAACATAGGAGAAGACGAAAGAAGTGAACTGGAATGATGAAAGTGCTCAGAGAGAGATGTGGAGCAAGGGAAGCACGACAAATATAGGAACAGGGCATAGGTGAATAAAGGAAAGAAAGTGATAGATCATAGAACTGCAATAAAACATAGTGAAAGCAAAGGAACACTTTCTAACAATACCAGCACTGTATTGCCAATATTCCTAACCCGGGTTTTTAATAACCGAGAAAAGGAAGTATTTTGAATGAGAGTAATATATGTAGTTTAGGAAGAGTCGTTCACAAGTACCAATACTGTGTAATTAACTGACACTACTTGATAAGGATACTAGGTTGTTTGTGGGATAATAATTTAATTGAAGGAAAGGATATTTGTAAGAACTATGGGAAAATAAAGTTAAGAGCTGAATGTATTACCTAGAGGGCACATGTCTATAGCCCTATGAGACGGTTGATCTTAAGGAAAGACATTGATATTGGAAAATGGTAACATGAGTTTGAAGCAAGTTACAGTAAGCATCAGGTAAGAAGTTGTGATGCTGAAATATGTTGCTACAAATGAGGTAACGGCTCCTTATGCCTTGTGGTTACTTTGTGGTGATTCTGGGGATCAACGTCCCCGTGGTTGGTGTTTTCTGGTCAACCAGGCTCTCCGACATGACTGCTCGCTGCCTGATGTATGAATCACAGTCTGGTTGATCAAGTATCCTTTGGATATCTGATGCACAAACATTGTGACTAGCCTGATGGCACTGTTTTTTATCATGATTTACCTAGTGATAAAGTGCCTGGAATGTTATTAAAATGCAGGTATCTGTACTTCAGAATAAATAATGCATTGGTTTCCCTCCCCACTAGCAAGCATTGAATAACCTGTGTTTTAGTATTTGATTCAAATCTAAATTCCATTATCCAATCCAGTCAGTTACCAGACTAGCCCAGGAAACTAGCACTTGTGTTCATTGTTTTTTTCTATGTAACACTTATTAGTGAGGCAGAGTTATGTCCTTGAGTGTGGATAACAAAGATGTGTGGTTCTGCCTCCTCAGGGTGGGCAAGGATTGTTGTTTTCTCTTCATGTTGGAAGAGCAGTGTTGGTATGTCATGACACTTTTATCATTGGTTTAGACAACAATATATGCTACCATGAGCTGTGTTCTCTCTCCACATTCTCTTCCCCAATTCAAGTTACTGTACCAGATAATTATAATTGGTAAGTTTTTTTAATCATTCCAGGATGTACCTATTAGTATGTTTAATCATTTGCTGTGTCTTGATCCAAATTGTATCCTCAGCCAACAAGGTTCCTGACAGTGTTTATCTAAAATATGATTGTTTTTAATATATAATTTATTTCAAATTTCACATTGGAATGTTTTATGTTTAGCTTATGAACATGCAAGAGAGTGAAGTTGGGCAACTGATAAAGGCAAAGGACTTCAAGCTAATAGAAGCACAGTGTCGTATCGAGTTCCTGGAGAAGGAGCGGCAACGCCTAGAGGAAGAGAATGGCAAGAAGGGGCGTGCTGCTGTGGTTAGTACATCCCATCTTGTGTATGTAAGCATGTTCTTATGCAGGCGATGAGTCACAATAACGTGGCTAAAGTATGTTGACCAGACCACACCATTGAGTCCTGGCTTTGTTGTTTTTGTCAACAAGCATGTTCTTGGTTTTTTAATTAGCAATCTGGTCCTATACTGCTTCCCTATCTTCTGGATGATGCGTCTTCACTCAATGAAAGTGGTGAATAAGAGTCATTATTGATATCATTATCAATGTCACTCAATATCATTATTGATAGTTCTTGTCTTAAAATTACTGTATTTTAAGCATTGCTATATAGCCAATAGTATTCATATAAATGATGTGTCTTAAGTCTGCTTATTGCTGTACCATTGGATAATCGGTACCATCGGTACCATTGCTGTAATTTAGGATATTTTAACACAATCTTTAACCTCCAATAAGCCGTCATCATCATTTGCTGACTATCATTATTATTGCCAGGTTTTTTACCTGTACATGTACAAAATATACACGTGTTGAAGGCTAGTCCAAATACAGGCACCATGTGGAATAAACCTCATATTGAATGAGGTGGGGAATAAGGCAAGAGGCAATTCTTCCTGGCCAGGACATGAACCCAGATTAAATTGCTCCATGTCTCTCAAAAGATTTGATTTGGGTTCCTGGTCAGGGAGGCTTGTCCAGGTCCCAATTTAACTGTTTGTCATGTTCACCCAGCAGTAATTGGGTGCCTAGTTTTTAATGGATTGGCAGGTCATGTTCCGGGAAAAATTAGTAGGTAAGGCTTACCAAGAGTTATGTGCAGGGATAACTCTCTGCATGCTAACAGGAATCGGTAGTAGTCGGTTCCTGTACCCACCTGTGTGTAGGAAAAATGCAAATGCAATAGATAAAAGCCTGTTTTATCCTGGAGTGACTACAGAAAGCCACTAGTGAACATAATATTTTGAAGCCCTATTTGGCATTAAAGGGTTCACCAGTTGGTTTTTTTCCCGTCTTCTTTCCCTGATTGCCAACAAATGGCAACACCTATAACCTGCATTTATGATCTAAATCATACTAAGTAAAATAAAAAGTGTGCAGTACTCAAACTAAACAATTATTATTCCTTGTCAGCAACCATCTGTTGGGCAAACAGTGTACAGAATTTCCACGAAGTGAAAGACTTTGTTACAGAGTGTCTGATGTAATGGGTGCAATATATCGTTATATATGTAGTTTGATAAAACTGAGATGGAAATGTAAAATTGTCAGTTGATACAATTAGGGCCGGGGCATGATTAGTCACTTCGCATCATGACAGGAAATATTGGTAAATGGTTAATAAAACTGTGTGGGTCTTGGAAGTAACCTTATACTTTATTGGAATAATTAATAATGTTTTTTCTCCCTTAGACATATAAGAGGGACTTGGCATTGGAGAGGGCAGATCGGGCCAAAATTGAGAGTCAGACTATTGAATTAATTAGGAGTATGAAGAAGAAATGGAAGGATGCAGAAACTGAGAAAATTGATGAGCTGCATAATAAATTAGAGGTAAGTCTTTTCTTGTCTATTGAAAACTGAATAATAAGTTAGAGGTACCCTAAGTATTTTGCATCTTTTTTTTTTTTTTTCATAATTTTTATGCCAAATACTGTGCCATAACTGGCAAACAAAAAAATATTTAATGCAAGATTTCTAGATTCTCAAACATTTAATATATTCTTAAATAAAAATTAAATAATGAACATTATTTCTAACATAATTAATTCTAATGACAATTAGAATCCTTTTACTTTTTCCACCTTCATGTGTTTAATAATTTTATTGGCTTTGTTGTAGGCGTACGCTGAAGAGCTAAATTTCGTACGAACGCGGCACCATGAGGTTGGAAAAATGCTTGTCGAAAGAGAGAAGGAGTACAGAGTAATAGAAATTGAGAAATTGAAGTTATTGAAGATGCTTAAGGAAAAGGTAATGACTAAAATTATTTGAGTGTGACTTAGTAGGCACGTTAAAATTAACAAATAAATTTGACTTATTTTTCTGCTGGTAATATTTTGAACATAAATAAAGGACATATGAAATGCCTGGATAGATTTTACCAACTCTGCTGTCAATGAAGTACACTTGTCTTTAGATAGAGCAAGTTATGAGGTTTTTAAAATGGATCTAAAATAATTATCTTTTCGGTTCATTATATTGCGATCTCGGGTGTGTGTGTGAGATGGGTGGGAGGGGAAAGGAGGTTATGTTGCCTGCTCTGGGACACTTGGTCTAGACGAGGTAATGGTGCTAATGTTGGATACCCGTGCTCAGGTCTCCCTCTTCCTGGGAGACCTGAGCCTGATTGGTTTCTGGATGTTGTGCACAACTTCTTGTCCTCTCTTCTGTGCCTAGTGTCATCTTTATTCGAAGATGTTACTATGGCTGTTGTACTTTTGTTAGTGCTGGCCACGAGGAATACTTTTCAAGCTACATGCATTGCAGCATCTGACAAATTCATTGCGGGTTTCGTGTAGGCAGTCTGTTTGTGTATGGCACTGCATCGTTGCAATTTTTTTTTCATAAAGGAAAAGTTAAAGTTCAGCCAGTCATGTGTTTACACTCTTGATCATAGTCTATCAAAACCCTGCTATTGCAACATTCTTCTTGGCAAAGTCCCATTCTGGGATTCAGGCTTAGTGCTTTTTGGAGCTTGGACAGGGCCATTGCCTCCCTCTTACCTACAGCTCCTTCTCTGGCAGGGTGTCACTATGGGCCGGCAGTTATGTGTTTCCTTCAGTTGACCTCATCCATGGGTCACCTTTGCTTCGTAGTGCTTCCTGGGGCAAGTCCCTGTTTACTTGTGGTAGGTTCTAGTTTGTGCACCATGGGGTTCCTCAGAGGAGCACTTGAGGGGCTGTGTTCAGTAATTGTGTGTCAAGTGGAATGAAGACTTCCTTTCTTAGCAGTCCTGTGGTTATTCCCTAATTGTCAATCTTTGGTTAATTTTTCCAGAATGTAGTGGTTTGTTCTTTTTGTATTGGTGATCAATCTTTGTTGGTGACTTGAGGCTTGTTTTCAATCCCTAAATTACATGGCAAGAGTCCATTTGCAAAGTTCCTTGTTACAGTATATCCCCAAATCGACCAGAGACAGTCATGTTGACAGTAACCTGTGTGGACCCCAGGCCCTGGCTAAAGAATCGACTTAATGATGTATATAAAAGATGTGTATAATTGCTCTAGTATGTTCATTCATGATGTTATCAATGGACAAGGGATACAGTATTTTTAATGTTATCGCCTTTTATTTTTCATTATTGTTTTATGGGCTGATTCCTTTACTGCATGAATTCTGAAAATAGGAAATGGGGGTAATGATGATGGATTTAATTTCTAACCAAACAGGAGAAGCAGGAATGCATTAAGAATGAGTGTAAAGGAACATGTCAGGCAACCAGTGAAGCCAAGAAGCAGCTAGAAGATGCAATGTTAAAACTGGAGACTGAAAGAGAGAGGGCCTCGAGTACCACAACACAGTTGGAGGAAGCATTGATACAAATAAATAGATTAGAGACAGAAATTAGTGAGAAGAATCATGTTGCACAAGAGCGGAAAATTGTAGAGGAAAGATTACAGGTGCTGCAGGAGAAGTTAGAGAAGGCAAATGACGAACTGACTGCATCTCACGCACTCCTCAAGAATGCTAAAGAAACGGTAAGTAACTTCCCACATGTTCCATTATAATTCCAAATTGAGAAACTGATTATAGGAAATAATTCTAATAATTAAAATATATAATAATTTCTTTGTTTCTTATTATATCTTCAGGAGAAACTTGAGAAACGGAAGCAAATTGGTAATCTTGAGGACCAGTTAGCAAGAGAGAGAGGGGAATGTTCTCGGTTGCGGCATCAGTTACAGGTAATAACTGGGATGGGTGTAGTTTTTCACTTTGTTTACCCTTATTATTCAACCTGTAATGTGATTTAATCGAGAATTAATTTCAGCATCTTGAGGCAAGGCTTAAATTTTTACCCAAAAATGACTCATAATATCCAATTTCAAAATAAACTTTTCTGTGTTTACAGGAGGTAACAGCTGTATTGTGCCAATTGATTCCTTAAATGCCTGAAATATTCTTAAAATCATATCTTCAAAAGATTGAGAAAGTGGATAAAGCAACATTTTTGAGATTGCTAACTTTTAACAGTAGTGGCAATACCGTACTGAAAACCTGGGTGTTATTGTTTGCTGAATTTACTAGTACAAAATTAGATAAAACTGGCAGTGGAAGCAGTCATTGATATACAGTAGTAACAGAAGGTTAAGATGACAGTAGGGACTGTCACTGATGGAGTACGGGAGAAAGGATAGAACTTAATAGTCTGTAGAATAAACACATTCTCAGGGTAACAGTAGCAGATGAAGGAGTATTGATCAGCTAAAATAGGAAGCGATTAACCTGAGAGTTTGCTCATGAAAAAACAAAACTATTAAAATAAGTTAGCATAGACAGTCTGTTTAAATAAATTTAAATGGTTTTATAATGGTTTACAAGAGAAGTAAGTTGTCCTTGCAAATGGAAGGCATTAATCAGTCCTTTACTGATAAATGAATTTTATTCATTCAGGAAATGTCTGGGCAATTGAATGAGTCTATGGCAAGTTTAGAGAGTGTAAGCTCTACTCGCAGTCTGAAGGAGGAGGAACAGGAAGGCAAGATAAGAGAGCTCCAGCAGGAATTGAAGAGTATAGCATCCGATAGGGTGAACCTCCAAAGCCAGCTTATGCAGGTCAAAGTCAGAGAAGGTAAGTGCTTTAATTCTTGTCACTTGGAAAAAATGATCATTTTTGGAATAGGTTTTGTAGAAAAAACAAAAAAAAATATTGAAGAGAAAGAGCAAAGAAGAAATCCTTGAATTTGCAGTTTATCAAAGTACAGGATTTGTGCAGATGTTTGGGTAGGGTTTGTTTCAACAGATGCCTCTGTTCACCAAGCAATAAATGAGGTACCAGGAAGTTTGTACCCAGCTGTTGTGGGATGTATCCTGAGTGAAGAGCAGTTGTTGGCTATGGGCACCTAGATAAGCCTTACAGGTTTTTTATATCTGCAACAGTAAGAACTTTTCAGTACAGCAATTAATTTGTATTTGGTGTGGTTTATCTCTGGTAAACCTCGGGATAACTTAGACTTTAATATATTTGATAGTACCTCAGCCCGTGTTATAATGATGTACCTCGGGCCCATGGTTCAGTAAAGTACTGTAATAATACTTCAGTACCTGAAGCAACTGTTGATGTTTATTTATTTACCATGTGTGTGAAGTGCTTACATGTCGGCGAAGAAACTGTAGGGAGTGTGAAGGAATGAATGTGTGTGTGTGTGAAATGTAGAAAATAGTAGTCAATAAGTGCAACAATGAGTCTGGGGGTAGAAATAAAGTTGTCGTTGTTTTCTTGTCATTACATAACTGCTCCTTTTATATTCTGGTGCATTCTCCAGGTTGTAGGATCATTGTAATTATTCCCACCAGGAGCTACTGTATTGTATACTCCATACTCATCCTGTGAGCGGTAGCACGAAAGAATTACAGAAGACATTAAAGATCTCGGAGTAAACAGTGGGAATAGCTGGGTAAAAAGGGTCGCCACAAAAAAATTTAGAAGTTATTAATTTTTGGACATTTCAGGAAAGAAAATCTGCAGTGACAAATGTTCAGCTAACTTGAGTGGTGGTGGGCACCATGTGATTTGGATTAACGAGCAGTCAGTACAGTATTTGCTTAATGGCTGGAAAGTGGAATGAGATTTTAGTATTAATGTTACAATACTATGCGTGTTTTTTTCCGCATGATATGGGAAAGTGGTTGTTATTTGGTCTTGTGGATTTACTTCCATATACCTTTGACATACAGGATGTTGAGAGGTGTGTATACTCCGTGCCAAATAAGGGTCGTTCTGTATTGGAGTGTACAGTATACACATGTATAAGGTCCAAAGTAAATCAGTTAAAAGTGCCTCTAGTTTTTCTCTGGTGCTGTCTTGCATAATTTTATTGAATTAATTTGCTTCTGTTGTCAATTTAATTTTTTATTATAAATTTCCCATTCAGTGGGATGGGGACCCATTAACCTGGGAAACAAAATGGTATTAGTCAGTTTAGCATTCTGTTTCCATTATACATTGTTCAGTATATATATTTCTCGGGTGTTTTTGTTCATGTAATGCATTGACCTTTTTCCTTTCCTATTATTAACAGGAGAACACAAGTCAAAGATTTCCGAATTGGAGTTTCTCCTCTCCAGACTTGATGAAACTGTCCGCACCTTGGAAAGCAAGAAGTCTTCCACTCAGGCTTGTGAAGAGATGTATCGGGCAAAGTTGCAGGTACTGGAGACCCAGCTGGAAGCTGCTCGCAGTGCTCAGGTTCAGGAGAATGAAAATACAAAGAAGTTATCAAATGAGCTAACAGAGGTAATGTTAATAGTTGTATGGAAGTGACGATAGAACATGTAATTGTCTGTATTACTTGACTGAAATGTTGGTTTCTACAGTTACTGAATTTGTATCTGTCTTTGATGTCTTGCTTCATATGGTGGAGACATAGAATCTTGGGCAGATCTGTGTCTGCCCAAGGCCCAAAAAATCCAGACCATGATTTTTTTTCAATACAGTATGGCATATTTTTACTGCCATATTGGAAAAAAAGTAAATATCCCCGTTTACTGGAGGTTTGAGGAAGCAGATGTGAGCCCTGTGTACCCACGGGAAGTTTTATATCTTGATAGTACTTTAAGACATCCTTTATTGTCTCGCGCAGTGGGGTCATAAATGACGAGACCATCCCTCATTGTCATGCACATTTGAAGGATTAAGATTGCGAGATTAAAAGTGGAAATTCCTGAAGGCAAGCATTGGCTTGATATTTGTTTAGTTCTCAGCCAAGAGCACTGACCACTTCCCCATATCTTCAATCACTATTGCTACTACAGTACTGTATTTTCCAATTTACCTACTACAGTAAATCTTGCTATTTTAGTCCAAATTTTTTATTTCCTTTAAATTCTCACCTGTGGTAATTTTAGAAATATTGATTAAGGTTGCAAGAGCAAATAGAGTAAATTTACTTTGTTTTCATTACTAATTGCACTAAAGGAATATATTGTAAATATCCATCTTATTTCTTAAACGGGAGGTAAGTTTGGGTAAAATTTGAGATTAACAATAACACTGAAGGAAAACATTTTATCGTTTATAAAATTAATGGAATTGTTTAAATTTGATTTGTTTAATTTGATTAAATTTAAAGGATTTGTTTAAATTTGATTAGGTTAGGTACATTATATATCACAGAATTTAATAGTAATAGTGAACCTATCACAGAATAGAATAGAATAATAACGTTGAATAATAATTTAATGTTAAGGCACTTGGGTGGTTTAGATTGAAGGGTTGTGTGTGTGAGTGATTGACCCCAATGTTTGGAGATAGGCAATTTCAACAGAATTTCTTTTTGATAATCCAAGGAAAATGTTAATATTTTCATCGTTGTGTGTATACAGGTACTGTATTATGATAATTTTGGGGAGCATTGTTTACTTGTGTGTATTTAAGAATTTTGATAAGGTTGCTTGGTTGAGAATAGATTCAAAATGAAAATGTAATATATCATAAATTACTCTTAATAAAGATTTAAGGTGCACTTTTCTTTAGCATAAATAGAATAGTCTTCCTTTAACAGGATTAAATTTTTTGCACTCGGGAATTATACGCATTAGATTTGTTATCTAGTGGTGAAATTGCACTTGTGATGGTTTTACAATAATAAACAAAAACAGGTTTTGTGTTTTTTGAAAGATTGAAATTGGTCCATTCTCAAGAAAATCAAATGACAACTTTTCAGTTTGTACAGTATTTTACATGTTCAACTAAGCCTCGCCCACAAATCTTAAATCACGTCATTTTGGGTCTTTACTTAACATTTCATCCAAACTTATATTTGCCTTAAAACCCCAATTAAAGGTAGATTTATTCATTCTATTTAATAACAATTGGGATATGCACAAAATATTGTCGCATAGTATCGTACGATAATTTACTTTCAATATCAGTGTTGTGCAGGGGATGAGACACAATAACGTGGCTAAAGTAAGTTGACCAGAACACACACTAGAAGGTGAAGGGACGACGACGTTTCGGTCCGTCCTGGACCATTCTCAAGTCGATTGTGATAGACTTGAGAATGGTCCAGGACGGACCGAAACGTCGTCGTCGCTTCACCTTCTAGTGTGTGGTCTGGTCATCATCAGTGTTGTGTTTAAGATACAATGATTGCACAGGCATGTCACAAAACATTTGAGACAAAGATTTATTATTGCCTTCCTGTGAAGCTACTCATGGATGGGATAGTGTTGAGAGAAGGTCTTGTGTGAAACTGCCCCTCGGTGATAGTTCCAGGAGCAACACGGTTATGTACTGGTATATACTGTACCTGGTAGCAAATTAATACTAAAAATGTTAATTTATGCAGGATTAGAAGTTTAGTAGTTTATTTTAAGCTGTAGGAGTAAAGTTGAAAGTTTTGATACTTGATTATCTTGCAAATGTGTGAAAATTTACTAAAGGCTTAGCATAATTAGACAGTTTGTTTAAAGACATGGTTAGTTTTATTCAAATATTTTTTATGTAAATCAGTGACTGAATTTTGAGGGTTAAGTTACAGTTGTACAATATACACTTTAATGATAATGTCTGTGCTCTCTGTTATTGTGCCTCTCAATTTAATGTGTAATTTATGTAAACCAATTACAACTGTAATACCATTTATGAATATAGCTTTTGATTTGAGTGAGAGCTATGTAAGTTTTTTTTTAATACTTTATACTGGGTATATTTAAAAATACACAATGTAATTGATTCAACAGGTACAGAAGCAACTATCGGACAGCAGGCTGGATATGCGTGTTACTCAAAGAGAACTGAAATCCGCCCAAGACACCATCTCATATCTACGTGACAAAATTCGAGAGCAACGTGGTCAGCTGGATGAAAAGGAGGTACTGTGGATGCAATTACTTACCATTTTGCTTTATTTATTTTGTTGAATATGCCCTTACAATGCTGTCTTGTCTCTCTCTCTCCAGAATTAATGTACTCTTTTCCAGTCTCTTCCCTCTAACTTAATAAAAGAATGGAATGGGGTGTGTGGGTGATTTTAATGTTAAACTTTTTGTAGACTGTTGTGCAAGAAGCGGCTGATGCAGATCGTGATCTTCGTATGACTATTGATGATTTAGAGAAGAAAATAAAATCTCGGGAGGAGGAGATGGAAAAGCAGAAGGCTGATCACCAGGTTGGTAATTTGAATTAAATTTTCATCAGATTTGAATGATGTAAATTTCCACTTTGCCTTGCATTTATTCAAATTTTCCTTACCCTCAATTGTTTTTTCTTCCTTGAATATCTGTGTATTTACTTTGCAAATTCACTTGTGTTTCTTGATGGCACTTCTCACCTTTTAAGTGAAATGTGTGTGTACTCACCTAGTTGTGCTTGCAGGGGTTGAGCTATGACTCTTTTGGTCCTGTATTTGTGTCCTGCTGCATGCTAATTGGTACTGGTACCTGGTGCTTAAAGAACTGAATATTGTAGCTCGGTGTTGTATTCACTCTGGTAACTAATTAGTGTTTGATGGCCGACCGGCATGTTGAAAACTTGGATAAATGTATTGTTTTCTTAAAGATGTGTAATTCTTTAAGGTGTTTGGGGAGGATTTGACATGAAGCCAAAAATAAACCTCTTGCACAAGGAAGAATTTCTTATCACTATAGCAGTTCACACTCTTTCCTTGAGTCGGTGCATAAAAGATCTACCCCTACTTGGGTTGCTTAAAATATTTAAATACAGTACAGTATTAAGTTTTTTATACAGTACCAATATCTATGAATTTTGTGTCAATGTTTCAAAATAAATGCTCTAGAGCATAGAGGCAAGAAAATTGGCTCTGTATATGTATTATTGTTTAAATAGTATTCCTGAGCATAATTTTTTTAAAAGCCTTTCAGCGTTCTTAAAAAAATAGTATTGAAAAGCTGTAGTAATGATATAAAAAGGATTGTTAAGGAAACAATTTTCATCATTTGAGATGTAATGAGAATGATTTGCATTATCAGAGGAATAACATTAACATAGTGTGCTACACTGAAACTAGTCCTCTGACTGCTGTAGCACTAAGAATACAAGAAACCAAAGAATTACTATAATATAAATGGGCATATTTTTAGTCACAGTAGTTCATTTATTTATTTAAACATGCAAATATTCAAATAGTGGGTACTAACCATTTCAAAACAGGGCTTGGCTTGTATGGAAATTATATCAAATAATACTGTAATTGGGATGTTTTGTGTTCTCCGTGCATGTTTTCAATGCCTGTCGAGGCTGGAGGTGCACCACCATAAATTGTGAAGTCACTCTACTTAAAATTAGGTACATATAATCAAATTTATTTTATCCAATTTAAAAAATAATTTCTTGAAGGTGGTTATTATAAAACTCTCGTGCCCATCAAAGGTAGCCACTGACTTGCATGCTGATTCTTCACTGTACATCAGTAACCTCGCAAACATTATATGAACTTCAGCGATGGTCCATTCTACACTTATTTTACTTCCTTAATCTTCTGTTTACAGTATTTAAATACAATTGCTTGTCTTTGTTTTAGCAAATAATATCAAGAATGGAGGAGAAAATCAAAAGTCAGGAAGATGTCAAAAAATCATTGGAGCAAATGGAAAAGCAGCTTCGTGAAGCTCGCCAAAAATCTGACAGCATTAAGGTATGTAATCTGGTTTACCAGAAGTTTATACTAGGGATTTGCAGTTTGATTTTATTTGATTGTCATAATTTATATTGCATAATTAGATGAAACTTGGTGTGGCTTTTTTTTTTTTTTTTTGAGGATAATTCTTCAGGTTATAATTGGGAGTCTTTTGGGCAAACCAGATTTGAGGAGAGGGTAATTGACCCCTGACTACCAGTGTTTAGAATTACTCTGCCGTACTATCTTCTCTTGGATCACAAAAGATGAACTATGTAGTAACATTAATATTGGTAGTTGTAATGATGATTTTATTTTTGAACAGCATTGATATGTTGATTATAGTTTGATGACATTGGTAGCTCTCTTGCTCCTCGTCCTGATGTTTCCTCCGAAACACTCGGATGGCTGAACATAGTGTACTGTCTTGGAGCCTAAACATGCATGTTGAAGAGGAAGAATGTTTGGTCATTGTTGATAATTATGATTTTATTGTTCATAACCTCTGATCACTGAGTGTTCATAACCTCTGATCACTGAATTACATAACATTTAAGTACATTCTAACAACGTGGTGTGTATATAATGTATCTTCTCAGTGTTCAAGCCACAGAATTAACATTATTTCTCATTAATGCAGAAAATTTAACATTTCCAATGCTTTGATATTTCATAAAGCAATTAGTTTGCTTGTGTTCCTAGCATTCAAATAAGAGTTTAATGTGAGATTGGTTCACTTGATATACATTGAGAGTTCTGATGTTTGCTTTTTATTTTAGCTTGAAAAAAGAGGATTGGAATCGCAGATAAAGATGATGGAGTCAGCCAGGGAAAACGACAAACAAGACAAGCAGACTATTCAAGGGAAAGTTGATGACCTTCAGAAGAAATTGGTGCATTCAGAGTTGGTAAGTGACTTGAATATGATTTGTAAAGGCTACCGGTATTCTGAAAATGGATATGAAACCATATCTCCATAATTATTTATAAGAACAAGTTCCAAAGATATTTAATTGGAAAATCTAAGGGTAAAGAGTTTTGCATGTGGAGAAGTCAGTGGGCGTGGTTCATTGTGTCATAGTCCTACTTAGAAAAATAAGTTTTATTGTGCTAGATCCTGAGAAATACTGGTAATGGAAAAAGAAATCTCTTAATAGACAGGTTTTCCTGGCAGTTGTTAATATGATAGGATCAAATTTAAAAGTGAGTAAAAATTTACTTTCAGAGCATGGGAAATATTAGGATATGAATGCTATCATTCCAAATGCATTTGTTTAAAATTGGTCCCAGTTAATCATATTTTGCCATGTGCCACTTCCAGTCTGGATTCTCTTCGTCTTAATGTATGTCACCTCTCCTCCCTGGAAAGTCCTATTTTTGTTCTGTTAGCTTCATGGAGCCATCAGGAGCTACCCCAGGAACCCAGTATTGAATATACAGTAATGAAATGCCTCTCTTTATATGAATGGCAGTGGCTTTCTGACTCCTTCCATCCTCTACAGGTTAGTCAGTTCATTCATGGGCTGTTCATCACCTCCAAATTGTAAATAAAATTGTAAATTGTTTGCAGAGTTGTTTGTGTTTTTTTTGGATTTGGTTTTTGTTGATGCTCCAGTTGTCTGTAAAGCCGGTCTTTACTCAAATCTGGATCGGGTCTGAAATGACATTATCCACATTTGGAGATGTGCCTGCACAGTTGTATAACAAAAGCAGCCTTTTAATACCCTCTGCATCATCTTTTCCAGGTAATATCTCAGTTAAAGGAAGTGTGTTCGTCTCAAGATGAGGAGCTCTCTCTGATGGAATCCCTGTCAGACAAGATTGCGCTGCATGAAAATGAAGAGTATGTATAAATTTGTCTTGGTATTAGTAAAGTTATACTTGAGAGCCTGACAAGATTTCAAATTACTCTTTAAGAATTATGTGCAGAGACTAGATTATATAGGATGTAAAGCCAAGGTTAGAATTTATATTGTTGGTAAGTCAACAGTCAATGGTAAGTCACTATACTGTACTTTAGGAATGTTATAGTGAATGTAGGTTCTAGTAGCATAATAATATAGGATCCTTTTATCGCATCTTTGGTCATTTGTATTGCCCATCAAATATTCACATCATTGATCACGGTATTTACTCATTTCTTTCCACAATGTATCCGTAATATTTTCCTTGCTCATTACGAGGTATATACATGACCACAACATGTATCTTTCACTGTTAGAATGCAATTATAGTGCTAAGTCCCATATTTTACTCCCATGTCCCTCACCATCTGTATGCATATTCTCCTGTATACTTCCATTGCCAGTCCGTCCCCGACAACACCAACGTACAATTCACACTTAGTGAAGCACAAAGCCAAACTTGGAAAGTGCAGAGGCTGACTGCAAGAAATGTCCCTGAAATAAGTGGATTTCTTATTTAATAAGAAATGGATAATTTTAAATATGTGGATGGATAATTATGAAGTTAGCTGTAGAGAAGTGAATCATACAACCCTAGAAAAGGAATATATATACTGTATATCATATGACTATTACATACAAAATACTTGAGGGAATAGACAATATAAAAGAAGGGCAAAATCATCTTTTGTAAATTTAGAGAAATTTTTGACTAGAGGACATGGGTGGAAGTTGGGAAAACTCCAGTGACTAATAAATGTAAGGAAATACTCGTACACTGTATGGGCGGTCGACAAGTAGTGAATACAGTACAGTGCTGTACTTGAAGATGTTACAGAAAGTTTGAATAAAGCTCAGCAGGCACAAGAAGACTAGTTGACAGGGCTTAAAGAGCTGGGCCTCCCTCCCTCCCTTATACTGTGTTAGGCAAGCACGTACTCTCAAATCTCACACTGTGTAAACATGTTTTCCTACCTTGTTTTGTTTTGTGTAGATTTTGCATGTCTAATTATCCTTTCTTATAAGCAAGGATATTTCTTGTATTAATTTCATTCACCATTTGGGTTTTCAATGTTTAGACTGGTATGAGGTGTATATAATTGTGTGTATTTTAATGAAATTGAAATATAATAGAGTAAATGGTAGTGAAAGTTGGATGTGTACATATGCATCAGTATCTCTGATATTGGCCAATTTTTACTGTGTCTGTGAAACTGTAGCCAGTGCTTTGGTAACAAAAATGTTGTTTATACAAGGGTACAGTTGTAACATCTGACACAAATATCAAGTACTGTATCATTCTTTTATAGCATCAGAGTATCGGTTAATAATAATACGATATTGGTCAAAAATTTATATTGATACATCTCTAGCAAGTAGGTGTATAACCGTAAAAGTGAGGTTGTCGTTTGTTGATCTGCAAGGTAACATGGTTATCATAACTTAGATATTATCAAATGTTTAATTATTTATTGATTTTATTGAACTGCCATTGCTTTTTTAAAGGACCAAATTAAAGCAAGATATAGAGAAGCTTCAGGATGAATTGAAAACAACAAAGGCAGCTGTCAATGAAGAGAAATCTCTCAAGCTGTTCCAGGAGAGGAAAGTCAAGGACCTGGAGACTCGCCTTCGCGAAGCAGATCAGGAAATGGATAAACAAATCCAGTGCCTCAATAATGAGTTGCAAGAGTCTGGGAGAATCAATCTGGAGCTGCATGAGCAGGTAACATAGTTTGTTATTCTCCATATTTTTTTTTTTTTTTTTTTTAATTTCTCCTCTTGTTCCATTCACCTGGGCTCTAGGAGACTCGAACTGCAGACCTCACATGTGTGTGAGGCCGAAGCTCTATGGACCGAGCTATTGAGTAGTCTTAGAGCCCAGGTGAACGGAATGTTTATTTCCACGTAAGTGTGGATGACGCCTTATATTTCTCCTCTCGTCTTGTTTTTGCACTGTTTGGCAATAAGTTATCAAGTCAGCTTTACAGTATAGTTAATGAAAACCCTAGATTTCAAATGAGCTCTTATAACATGTCAATACAGCAGCAGCCTTTGGTGTAGCACTTTGTACCCTCACCCACTTGCCTCATGAGTGACAGCAACCAGGAATTGAATCATGTGGTGAATGAGATAGTTGGTTGCTGAGCCTTCACAGTTTACCCCATACACCCAGCAACATCTGGGGTCCTGGATGCAAAATGTGGAGGTGCTAATGTTCCAAGAAAATACTGTTGAATAAGCAAACTAATTCAAGAAACAGATTCCTCATCTTCCCCCAGTTTACCAGATATGATAACAATTACCTGCACTATAAGTGAAAGCAAGATTTGGAGTAGAACTTTGGGCTGAATTATATTCAGATGGGGATAGAGACCTTGGATAAAACAAGTGTTCTCATCCAGATATGAAGATGGACAAAAATTCTGTTGATAAAAGGTCTCACAATGAATTGTGGCAACATTTACAAAGAATTTCACTCAAATTAACATACATTTTCTTATCCATCCCACAGTGCAATTTCTGGATCTCAAGTTTCTTGCTTTATAAAAGTAAACATTCCACCTAGGTAAAAATATACATAAAACAATCCAACTTCAGATTTAACAGAGATAATGCAAACATAGTAATTTGATTATCAATTTGTCCTTGCCCTGTTGTTGTTGCTGTTTTGTTAGCCTGTTTTATTACTTCTATGTTAGGTTTGCTTTCTTAGGTTTGGTACATATGCCTACCTTTGATAGGTCTGTTCAGTTGTTCCTATTTCTACCTTTACAGTGCACTCTTGAAAATATAGGTAATTATGCTCCAGATTTGGGTGAATTCAGGGTTTTTGACTAATTGAGGATATTGTCCATTGTCCATTTTGGGCTATTTATCAACAAGCGTTCTGTGTTTTATCTATGGCACATGTTACAGTACAAGTTTGTGCATTTTTAGACACAAGCTAGATGCACCACAGATGGCCAACCCCAGGCTACGATGCTGTATGAACCACTGGTAGACGGCATCATCCAAATCCCCGTACTCGGAAGGCTTTAATATTTTTGGTGCTGTTACTACCACTGGTCTCCATTTTACTTATAGGTTTTGTTACCTTTTATCAACTACTGGAGTTGTTTAGGCTTGACATTCTTCTCATTGATGAAAATTTTGTTTAGCTGTTAGACTTTACAAGTGACTCGTCTTGAGTGTTGGTCGATATTTTATTCCCATGTGTGTGTCTTTGAGGAGGCTATGTATCGGCCGTAGCTTCCCATAGGCAGAGAAAGTCTTGAACACATTAAAGGGTGCCCTTAGCATATCATTGCCTAAACTCTGAAGAGCTACTATGGTGGTGGTACTACACTCAAACTGGAGTTTCATTACACTCGCCGCTATATTTCATTACTTGTAATTATACTGCACAGTACTTTCCTTTATGAGAATGATGCTCTATATTTAATTTTTGTTTAGAGTTGTGGCAGCATAGGAAACCGCTGGGTACCTTTTTTATTGCTTTCATGTGATTGAACCACATCTTGTATTAATTTGTTTTCTCTTGACAGATTGAGGCACTAGATAAAGAAGTGAATGAAGCAATGGCTCTTATTCGAAATTTAGAGCAAAAATTATCTGAAGTACGAGGCCAGCGTGATCTTGTAGAACAGGAGGCTGCTGGGCACATCCAACACATACACACCCTCAAAGACTCAAACTTCAAGCTGACAGAAGGACTGGAGACGGCGATATCAAAAGCAGAGCTCTATAAAAAAAGGTGTGTAATTTAACGGAAGTAATTTTTGCAAGCCGAGTGCCGTTTTAAAAAGATAGGACATTCAGCCATTAGAACTTGCTATTAAAGGAAGCTGCATAAGCTTTTTGGTCCTGTAAGGCTGCTCCTATTTTTATCTACCCAAACTTGTTTATGTATATGTCTAACCTTCACTTGAAACACTCTAGCAATCTCACATCAATTATGTTATCTGGAAATTTGTTCTAGAAATCTATAGCCCTATTTCCAAACTGACTCATTTACCAAGATCTTTTCTGAATCAAAACTTATCCTATTTGTTTTCATTAATATTTTTGTATTAGTATTTTGTCAATATGTTTAACACCTCATAACAGTATTCCCTTTGTTATATGGGTCACAGAAACTAACATGTTTAACTAGAATAAGTTCCAGTTACTGCACTATGTAAAAAACTAAAATATCAAAATGGAAACCTCACATAAGTCAAATTACACTATTGAAAGAAAAAAGTGTAAAAGATTTAGGAGTAATCATATTGGAAGACCTTTTAAAGAACACTACAAAGTAGCTGTCGCAACTGCAAGAAAAATTACAGGTTGGATAACGAGAACCTTTCAAACAAGAGATGCCATTCCAATGATACTTTTAAGACACTAATGCTCTCTTGAGTGGAATATTGTTGCACAACCACATTCAAAGCTGGTGATATTGCTGACTTGGAGAGCATGCAAAGATCTTTTATTGCTTGAATCCACTCGATACAATGTCTAAATTATTGGGATTGCTTTAAAATTTTAAATCACTATTTCCTAGAAGGGAGACATGAGAGGTACATAATAATTTAAATTTGGGAAGTACTAGCTCCAAATCTGTCCACTCAGACATAACACCCCATGAGACTAGATGGCACGGCAGGATATGTAAAATTGACCCATTGAAAAGCAGAGGTGCAATAGGCATGCTGAGAGAGGACTCAATCAACATCAAAGGCCCAAGACTTTTCAATTATAATTTCAATTATATCATCCTTTACTCTCTCTTTCTAGTGAATGTAAAAAAGCTTTCTCAAATTTTCAAATTTCTGGGATTAGCATCGTCACCCTTCTCTGTACTTGGTCAACGGAATTTATGTCCATGCTATAACATGGTGACCAAAACTGGACGGCATAATCTGAATGAAACCTAAAAAGGCATAGATTAAACTGAATAATAATAGATGTCTTATTTCTAACACTTGGATATAAATCCCAGTATACTATTTGCATTCTTTTGCATCATTACACATTGATATTTTGGCTTATGATCCCAGCTAATCATGAATCCCTTTTTTATTATTATTATTATTATTATTATTATTATTATTATTATTATTATACAGATTTTGCAATTGCAACATTGTCCATCTGCTATCTAGTAACTTTGCTATCATTACCTAGGCTCAAACACCACATTTGTCAACATTAAACTGTATCTGCTAATCTTTCATCAGTTATAACAGCACCTGTAGATTGTCTTGGTGCAAATTTGGAAGTATTGCTGTTCAATCCGATGTCTAAACCATTTATATATGATAAACAACAAAGGTCCCAGGACAGAGTTATGGGACACTTCACTTGTAATGGTTACCATTCAGACTGAACTCCATTTATGCTGGCCTTCTGTTTTCTTTGAAATAACAGAGGCCCATATTCAACTTAGGATAACCCCCTCCCATACTATAGAATATTGCCAAACACATCACATCATCACTCACTAAACTCTTGATCACATCACTCCCATGAGTGATGTGACTGGTAGGTTGGAGCAATCTTGAGGTAGCTATAGGGAGCCACCAAGAGCTCAAAAATTGCTTTTATCTTGGCCAGTATGAAGTGCCAACAGTATTTTCTAAGAACTTTTCATTTACAATGTTATTTCCACTGAAGTCCCTTAATACATACACTAGTGTTTATAGTACAGAAATATGTCAAAATTGTCATCCCCACACATTTAGCGTGGGGATGGCAATTTTGACCTCACCTGGCACAGAAGCGGGGCTGTAACTGGCAAGTCCACTACGGGCTCACCATAGCCCGTGCTTCTTACCCCGCTCCTGTGCCGGGTAAGTCCACTACGGGCTCACCATAGCCCCGTACTATTTATAATTTTTTGTTCTGAGTAGCTGAATCTAAAACAACAATAGCAAACAATTTTGAGGATATATATCATTTTGAAAGTTCTTCCTATTCTTAATACAGTATTAATTTCATAGATTATCATTTATTAAATCATCTATATGTATTTCCTAAAATGTTTAACTCTTTACAGAATAGAAGACGTGGAACAAAAACTGCTGGATCAGCAGACCTCACATGAAGATGACAAACTGAAAATGAAGGGCACAATTGATCAGCAGACAAAGCTTATTGACTTCTTGCAATCAAAGATGGACTGTAAAAAGAAAAAGGTTTGGGAATTTCTTTGAAATAATTTCATATTAAGTGTCATTTTCTCAGTACCATGGTTTCAAAGTATAGTGTATGCATTTATTGTATTTTCTGTATATATATATCCTTTAAACAATCATAAAACAAAATGCTGGAGATTTAGCTTTCTAAGTCAAGTGTTCACTGTATTGTATTGAAACGGGTATGTCGGTCTTCAGTATATCGCTGGAGATAAACCATACTATTTGGATCATATACCCTATCAACAAACCCAGTACTATGAACACCTTATTTAGGTGCAAAAATAAAACTTCATTGTCTTTATTTACTTACAGGAATGTATATTAATTTCTATAATGAGCACTGCACTACTTCTTTCTGCTAATGATGGAGCAGTTTCTGCTTTGGAAGGAAATATTCCTTCCGTATGTGGATTCTTTGATTTTTCCCTCGTTTGCATTTTCTGGCTCGGTTTGCGGTGGAAGATAACTAGGTAACGTGTGATATGGTTTGCATCAAGTGTGAAGCTGTGGTTACATGATCAGATATGCACCGTTCTTTATACAATTCAGCTGCTTCTGGCTACTCTAGAACTAAATTGATTCCTCTAGATATCTTGCCATTGTTGAATATTTTTCACTAAACTTTTGACCTTGGCCAGTGATGAGGATTATGGTGGCAGGCAATATAGCTTTTGTCAATATTGCATAAAGTTTTCACTTGATAATATTTTGTACAATGTTTTGTATGGATTTTCAAGATTTTTGACAACTCTAATATGGATCAAGTAAATTGCATTTAAATTATTGTCTCTAGTCATATAGGTAGTACAGTTTCTGTCCAAGTCTGATATATGGGAGTGACACATGGACATGGAATGGGACATAGTGCCCAGGCTGTGCAAATTATCTAAGATGCATATGGTGAAACCAAGTTGGAATAAGTAACGTAGAAGCATGTGGGATAGCAAAGTAGGCCCATTTGTGCTTAGCTATGGGGGAGCAAGATGTATCCTTAGGGTCTTGCTTCATAGGTATTTACATGGTATATTTATGTATACCGACGCTTTAGTACTTTGTGTGAGGTTGTAGAGAAACAGCTGCCCTAATTCATGGCTTTGTGATCATCTGGAGGAAACTTTAGAAACTAGTTAGGTATATCATGTAGGGATGCTTGTTATTTTTCTTCTCACTATTGTATGTTCTATGTAGCATCTTGTATCTACATATCAACGTGAATTTTTTACATTTAGGTACAATATAGATGAGAAATTTGCATGGTTGGACGAGTTATGCATTTGATTACATCAGTCATGTCTGTTGTGTTTACCATGAAATTTAAAGTTAGGATGGGTTCTCCTTTCTCAGTTGTTTGTCTACTGGTGGCTGGGGAAATGTATTAGGCAGCAAGACTAACATTTTGAAGAAGATGCTTGTCTTTCATGACTGCCCTCTGATTATTTCGCACTTTGATGGTGCTACATAGCCTTCCCGGTTTGGTGCCTTCTTTTGATAATTACCTTAACTTGTCTTTCATGACCAGTTATGCTGGTAAATGAATAGGAATAATTTACTCAAAACTTAACCTTCAGGACATGGCTGTAATGGAAGACAGGATAATCTTGAGTACGGGTAGGCATTTTCATATTTTCAAGAGACGAGATATTCCTATTTGTGGGGATCCCAGGCTAGTCTGTGATTGGCTCATGTGCAATTAAATCTTTACCATTTACCAATATGGAGGTTTGGGCCATTTGCTAAACTTTTTGTGCATAATACTGAGGAAATATTACCAGGTGTAATTATATTTTTGTATAAAGAACTCTAGTTGCAAAGATATAATTAAGTTGGTACTGAACTGGTTGGCATTCTTTTATCGGTTATCCATGGAGGCTGCAAAGATAGGAAAATATATTCCCTCACAGATGAGTGTTGTTTAGATACTGTACTTGTAGAGCTTTATCTCTCCCTCACCCTCAGTAAATGCTGTACAATGTTTCTGCTGTATATTTGGCCCAATATAAACCCATAAAAAGGTCTGCCTACCTTAAACTATCAGGCCAACTTATTTACAAAACAGTTTATTTGCAAAACACAAATACAATACCACTAATGTGGGAACATTAAATGCACTGTAAAGTCAACTGCACTATGCAGGCTTGTTGGGGACTTGATTTAAAAGCTGCTTTTAATGTTAGACTTGAAACATTTCCATTGGTTATAGACACCCTCTGGAATTTTCCCTTATATCCACACACTGTACTAGATCACTGAATGACAAAGTTCCAGTGCCTTGTAGTGAAAACTTCCTCGTTCTTACCCACCTGTCAGTTTGTCAAGTTGATGCTAATGTTTAATGTTATGTATACCTTATACTGTAATTTCTTGACAGCTGTCTGAAATTATATGATCATTTTCATGTTAATAAAGACACTACAACAGTTAGATGTTTCATTTCATAAAGCGTGTCAATTTTCAAATAATATTCAAATGTTCAGGTTTAAACAATATTCTGGTTACAGCCACAACAAAAATGCAAACAGGAATATAATAGCATTATATTAGAGTTCCAGTACTGTTCAAAATTATTCATGTGTAAAATCCACTGCAGTGATATTTCTCTTTAAAGTGCTCTCATGTCTGCCATGTTTTATCATGTAGTACGAACTTGATTGCAATTGTCTAATTGTTCTTGTGATGGTTTAGCTTTGCCCCTTTGACCTCGCCTCTCGACCTCGAGTTGACTGGTGTATAGAATCTTGAGCTATTAGACTCCTTCATATCTACATTCAAAGCTGTGTATGTAGTGTATCCACTACCTCTTAGAACATATTATTTGTTTACTTCTGACACTGAACAAAACTTTCAAATTTGGGTACTGAATTTTCATTTGTCCCCTTGTTTGCGAATCACATATTCTGATAATTTTTTTGTTAAATGTCTTCTCTGACGTTTAAATATTCCAGAAATTTGAGGGCAAATTTCTTTAGTCTTTCCTCGTAATGGATACTTCTTGTCTCTGGGATTAGTCTGGTGTACTTCTGGCCCTTCTCTACCTTTTTGTTTGACAAGATGAGGACTCCATTCTGATGCTGCATAATCCAGACTTGGTCTGATGTGTGGTATACAGGATCCTTAATGCTTCCTTGTTCAAATTTATGTAGGCATTTCTTATGTTGTCTAACATCAACCTGTCCTCTTAGATAATGTCACATATTTTACTTTATTATAACCGTTATAAATACAACCTATTAAGAAAATAATGTCTCGCAAGTATTTGCATTTTCTATGAAATTACTATATAGTTTAGATGGATTACTTGGGTTTTATGTTTCTGAATAGATTAAAATGATGTATATTTTTTTTAATGATGTCCATCACTTCATATATACATAGGTGTAACGAACGCTGGTCTGTAGTTTAATGTCTCTCGTCTCCAATTTGGTATATTGGTTAAAGTGGATATCCAACTTTCTGACAGTTCTCCAATTTCTAGTAACTTGTATTCCATACTAAGTGGCAAGCATGGGACTGTTGCTCTTTCTCTTTACTATTCATAGTGAGATTTTTTTAATGTAAGTGCATGGAGGGATATATATAACTCTTAGTCTCAGAGTGAAACATGTGTTGCACGACTGTTGACAATATGCAGGGGCAGCTGGCGCAATAAATAAGTGAAGATAATCTTGAAGGATTTTGTAGAGGTTAGAGTATGGTGGGGTCGTGGAGAATGAGAAGATAGGTTGAAATAAAGGTGCTAAAGTGTTGGCCAGGATATGGATCTTGGGTTAAAGTGAGCGAGGGCCGTGGCCTCGCCTTGCAATCCTATGATCCAGGGGTTCAATTCCTTCCAGTGATGAAATTGCTGGGCACATTTTCTTACACCAGTTTCAGCTGTTCACTTAGCAGTAAATGGGTACCCAAGAGTTAGTAGATCATTTTGGTTTTCATTCTAGGGAAGGTCAGCAGTTGGCCTTGAAAGATTTCGATAAGCGTAACAGCCTTTCTGTCCCTGACAATGGAAAAACTTTTTTTTTTTAATGTACTGTACTTGCCATATTTTTTTTTTACAATTGTAGTGTACAAATATACAAAATATCATATAAAGAAGTTACCCTTTTTAATGGGGCCCATCATCTAAACTTTCTCCTTGAATGAACCACCTCTGGCCCCCTGCTGCATGACTGTCTCCTTTCATATGTCATCATTTTATATATAAGTACTTTTATACAGCTCTGCTTCCTAGGTATTAGTACCCAACACTTGAATGTCTTGATGCTCTGGGTCACTCTTGATTGCTGATGGAGGCTTCAAAGTCCTCCAAGTACTCTTCAAGTCACTTGTGTTGTCCCATCCCGAGTACTGCTCGGTACTTGCTTCCCCTTTCAGATCAGGAGAGATTGCGGAAATAGAGGGAATACAAAGAACATATACGGCACGCATAGACGCAATAAAGCACCTAAATTATTGGAATCGTCTCAAAGCTCTCCCAATGTACTCACTATCTTGAGGTTATCTTGATGATTTTTTTTTTTTTTTTTTTTTTTTTTTTTTTTTTTTTTTTTTTATCCCCGCGGCCCGGTCCTCGACCAGGCCTCCACCCCCAGGAAGCAGCCCGTGACAGCTGGCTAACACCCAGGTACCTATTTACTGCTAGGTAACAGGGGCATTCAGGGTGAAAGAAACTTTGCCCATTTGTTTCTGCCTCGTGCGGGAATCGAACCCGCGCCACAGAATCACGAGTCCTGCACGCTATCCACCAGGCTACGAGGCCCCACTGTTCTAGAAAGACTAGACTGTTCTGTTCAAACTGGACTGTTCAAAGACTAGAAAGGAGATGAGAGATACTAAATAATATACACATGGAAAATACTGGAGGGCCAGATCCCAAATCTACACATTTAAACAACAACGTACTGGAGTGAACGATATGGAAGAAATTGCAGAATAGAACTTGTGCCTATGCATCCCTGCTTTTCACAATCGGAGAACACTGTATAAACATCAGAGGTCCGCGGTTGTTCAACATCCTCCCAGCGAGCATAAGAAATATTGCCAGAACAACCGTGGACATAGAGAAAACTAAATTGTTTTCTTCAAGGAGTGCCAGACGAACCAGGCTGTGGTGGGTATGTGGGCCTGCGGGCCGCTCCAAGCAACAGCCTGGTGGACCAAACTCACGAGTCAAGCCTGGCCTCGGGCCAGGCTTGGGGAGTAGAAGAACTCCCAGAGCCCCATCAACCAGGTATCAAACGGCACACATTTTCTATGCATTTATCTTGTTAACTGTCCACAGCATTGAAATGTTTTCTGGCATCTCTCGACTTGTCAACATTTGTAACTTCCTCCCATGTGAAAATTGTAGTCTATAAGGCCCAAGAGGGATGGAAGTAATTGTCCAGTTTTATTTTCATCACTAAAGATATATAAACATTTAGCAAAATTGCCTATATTAATAATATAGGAAGGTTTTAGTTATTAGACAAATGAGTACAAAGTATGAGTACTGTATTAGACAAAATACAAAGATGTTTTATACTCATAACAGTTCTGGTGTTGACCAGCAGAAATTAAGGTTCTTTAAAGGACTTTGGAAGGATAAGTGGCTGAGCTATAGGTAAGTGAATTTCCAGTATGGTAGGATTGGCTGGTGTAATACAGTATATGAACACGCTTGGGAGATATTTCCTGTCCTACCAGACAGTGAGGAAGTACAGTAGTCTTAGTTGAGGATGGTCACAAATTGGCTGTGATCTTTCAATGGTTATCTTTCTTTTTGCAGAATTTCAAAGACAAATTGTTTGGAAAGGAGAACAAGGAGAACACGGGCTTTTCTATGCCTCATCAGTACCGAGAGTTGGAAGACCTGTTGGCTCGGGAACGAATAACGAGCAGACAGCTGGAAAAGCAGCTTGCCGATGCTCATGCTGAAATTTTTGTTAGGAAAGCTAACGGTAAGTGTGTGGAGAGATAATGTAAAAGATTTTCCATGCATGCACATATTGAAAATTAAGTATAATTTAAGAAAATCTAACCACTAGCCATCTTAGTTGAGATGACATAATTGAAGCTGTTTTGTCTGTTAAATCATCTTCAATAGAGTATGCTCTCGACTTTCTCTTAAACTGTACTTTTTTTTCTTTAGATCTTGAATAAATCTTTTGTTGCATGTGGAACATGTAACACTAATGCTCTTTAAGCATTGTTGTTATGAATATTGGAACAGAATGAAAATTATCATAAAACAGTGTGTGAAAGAGTGACTTCATCCTCTCGCTAACTTGCATCAAGAAGTTGGAAGCCTCTTTGGACCCACAACCAGTGGGGGAGCATGAGAGCTATGGTACATGACTGGGAAGACAGGATGGGGAGGGGGGGGGGAGTAATTATCTAACAAATCCCAAGCCAAACCCATCAAGCCAATCTTGGAGCCTTGACACACAGGTCAAAGCCACAGGATAAACTAGACCCTGTTAGACGGGAGACTAAGACTAGACTAGACTAGACGGGAGTCGGTCGGCCGAGCGGAGAGCACGCTGGACTTGTGATCCTGTGGTCCCGGGTTCGATCCTGGGCGCCGGCGAGAAACAATGGACAGAGTTTCTTTCACCCTATGCCCCTGTTACCTAGCAGTAAATAGGTGCTGTACCTGGGTGTTAGTCAGCCGTCACGGGCTGCTTCCTGGGGGTGGAGGCCTGATCGAGGACCGGGCCGCGGGGACACTAAAAAGCCTTGAAATCAACTCAAGATAACCCTCCAGAATAGGAGGATACTAAATTCAGCAATCGTTGGTGAAACTGGGCGGTAAGAACAATAATGGCAGAGGTCCAGTTGCAGATATCCAGAGGTTATTACAGATGTAACATTGACTGCATGTTAGTGTTAAGATGAGCTATGTGAAGGACAAGCTCTAATCCTCTTAGCAAACGTGACAAAATTCATCTGCTTCTAAACTCACCTGTGTATTAAAAATGCAGAATTTTGTTAGTGATGTAAAGAAGTGAAATACTGTATCTTCATAATGTCAAAATATTATGCCTGTCGTTAGAAATTTTGTAAACAGTTGTTTAATATCTTATAATATTCATCTTGTCCATAATCCTGCATCAGGATTATAGTGTGCCTGTGCTGGTATTTAGAGCCAACAAGATGTGTATTTGAGTCGTACTCGGGATGAGTATGTCATCACAAGGCTGTATAATTAGAAGACAATCTGAACATATTAATATTCAAATGTGTTGTTTATATCAGATGTGTTGTAAGGTGTTTGCCAATATAACAATGTGTAGTATGTATATAATACAACAACAAACTTTCCATTTGTACAAATAAAAAAAAAAAAATTTGGATGTCTGGCATTTCTCCACAGTGCTGATATTAGAGAAGACATTCGGAATTCTCAAGGGGCAATAGCGTAGATAGATGGATTATTTAGCATGGGTGGTATTTGCACAAGAGGATACAAGTGGAAACTGAATACCCAGATGAGCCACAGACATTAGAAAGAACTTTTTCAGTGTCAGTAGTTAATAAATGGAATGCATTAGGAAGTGATGTGGTGGAGGCTGACTCCATACACAGTTTCAAATGTAGATATGTTTGAGCCCAGTAGGCTCAGGAACCTGTACACCAGTTAACAGTAGAGGTGGAACCAAAGAGTTGACGCTCAACCCCTTACAAACACCATTCGGCAAGTACAGTACATTCTACAGCATGAATTTCTCCATTAATTTTCAGGTGGAAGTATAGACAAGAAGGGGAACACAGCGACACCGCGTATCTCCCGGACGCCACTCGCACCACGAACACCTGTACCAACTTGCACGCCACATGATAAGAGAGCTGTGCAAAGTTTTGTCAACTCTTCTGCTCAGCGAAGCTCATCAAAGTCGCGTACGAGAAATACATCTCATAGGTAAGCTTTTATTAATTTATATACCGGGATATTAATTTGTCTGGGTGCTTCAGTCCCTTGAGGAAAAAGAGGAGAGGAAGGGGGAATTAAAAAAAAAAAATTGAAGCTAACTACAATATAGATTTTGAAGTCACCTTATGGAAATAAATGCCTATACTCCCCTTGCCAAATTTGGTATTGAAACCCTTTCATATACCCAAGTCATGTTTGCTGTCTTTACCCTCCCATAGCAGATGAAGCAAGTGATACAGTAGCATTGAGCAAGATGATATGGGATCACATTAGTAGTAAAATAAAGTGAGAGAAGTAGCTGTACAAGCAAAGAATGGAGGAAGTGACCTAATTATGAGGTCATTTAGATGCTCTAGATGAGGAGCAGTCACATAGTTGAAGTAAGCCAACAGAACCTGAAATAGTAAAATCTCAAGCAAGTCGATAGAACAAAGAAAACAAAAATTGCGCTGAATAATAAGTTTTCACAGGGAAATGGTGGAGGTTAATGGATGTGCTGAGAGAATAATGTCAAGAAAGGATGGCCAGAATACAGTGTTTCAACAAATAAAGCAACTGAGGAGAAAGGTGGATAAAGGAGAGAGAGAGAGAGAGAGAGAGGCATAAACAAGATGAAAAAGGACACAAGGAGAATGAATGATAGAGGTGGTGCATGCGCTTCAGTAGAAGCCTCCAGACTTCCTGTGGATTTAGTGAAATCCCAGGTTGTATACCTGGCATTCAGTAGCATTGTACTCATTTACCATGTTGTGGTACAGGGGTGAGATGCCTGACTGGAAGTGCCCCGATTGCTGGTTCAAGCCACCTCGGTGCTCCAATTGATTTTCTCCTTGAAGTTATTTGTACTAGTTGATACCAGTTAAGTTTCTGAATCTGATAATGGCAGTGTGTGTGTGGTATGCTCTCATTGAGACACTCTTATACTGTATAGTTAATGTACTGTCCTGTACTTTCCGTGTAAACTTTCCGAATCATGAATGTACTACCATTTATGAATAAAGTATTTCATTGATTTAGTATGAGGACAAGTAAAGTGATGGATTACACCACATGCTTCTGACTGGTCAATGCCGCCTATGTTTATTGCACCCCTCTAACACGTCCAGCAGACATGCAGCAACTATGCCAATTTTACAGTCCAAGTTGTGATAAAATGTTCGTCAGAGAATCACAGCTCGCCTCGGTTACCCAGCTGAAAGGGTACAAGTCACTCGACAAGTGACTGGTCGAGTGTTCACTCTAGATTAGCTTGGTATGTACTGCCTGCCCACATTCATGCTGTACAAGGCCACGCCTCGTCATAAACCAAATATGCCAATAAGGGACGGTAGAAATGTATGATCTAATCATTGTTACATTTAATGGCTTTTCATTTGCCACAAGAATGTGGAACGTGCCGCATGCCGGAGAACATATTTACTCTTTGTTCCCGTTCTATAGTGTTAAACTTTTGCAGATGGCAGGCTTGTCTGCAGATGCGTGCTACCAGATGTGCTGGTTGTACAGAAAGCATCCCTTTTGCTCGAAATGCTGCCAGATGTTTTGAGTGCGGTATTATTGCTCATAACAAGGTAATTTTATAAGTTTTATGTAAGCTGTTTTTATTTCTTCCAGACTTGCTTGAATTTATAGACTATGTATAAAAATAAATTCTATACTTAAATAATTATTATTCACATCAACAGACAGAAATCACATTAACGTGATATATATCAATGAGAAAATCCACTGGGACTATATTTTTTCATTGTACACATTTATTATTCAGTTCCCATTTTCATGAGATGGGAATCAGTACATTTGCAAGTCAGTAAATAATAAATTTAGTTTTTTAGCTTTTCCACTCTGTAGCTCCCTAAGGTAAGTCTGGCAGGATGACAGTTGGCACCAGCACCCCAGGATACTTTTCACATGGTCCCTAGAGGGTTATACCCGCCAAACACTCACCGAAACTACGACATTGGTACAACGTTCGAACAAGTTTTAACACCACCTAACCAGTTATAACAACCAATATAGCAAGTTGTAACAACGTTCTAATACGTCATAAACACGTTAAGCCAAGATGTAACAACTTTATTACAAGTTGTAACAAGCGGAAAATAGAGACAGTTTCGGTTTGTGTTTCCAGGGAATTATTCTGGTGCTTGGGAGTACCAGATAAAATTAAGTCTACTTCAGAATGACTTTCTCAAGGTTTATTTATTTAAACTGTGCACTTCCTTACCTGTCTGGGCCTCACAAGTGTGACCATCAGTGGAGCACATACACACTGATAACCACAAGGCAGTGACCTTCTGTATACTACAGGGTTAACTGGCCAAACTATCTCACATTCTTCCTGCCTCTGTCCCACATCAGTTCAGTAGTTGGGGACCGGATTTCAGTTGTGATATTTTTCATCCAATGACATACTGCCATTTTGTCGTAAGCATCCTTGTTTAGAATTCATGCAGCTGCCAAACAGTTGAAGCTGGAATTATGGGATTCATCTATTGGGCTCTATCTTTAAGACAGGTTTCCGTGGTTGGCCGCTTCTTCTCTCCAGGTGGGTGATGGCTGTTGGCCGGAGCAGTTTTCAAGAGTAGTGGCTGGTTTCCTTATGATTCTTCTTGGGGTTTTAGCATCCATGCCTCTTAGAACCTTCTTTCGTGTTTGGCAAGTACTGTACTGTACCCACTTCTTGAAGTGTGAGCGAGTTCGATGCCCCCATCTTGCTCCTTGCGTGGTTTGCCTGTGTCTCGCAAGGTAGAATACGTTTCACTCCTTTGTAGATTTTCTTAGTTATGCCTTTATTTCTTACTAAATCCAGCAGGATTGGTTATTTGTAATGAAGAATAGAAACTGCACATTTGAACCGGGTCCTTTTGTTGAGTTTGAGTCCCTTTTTCCGCTTTTCAGATGTACCAGATCCCTTTTTTTCTCTGACTAGTATCATTTGAGGATTTTCTCCTTCCATGTGCTAGGCATACTGTTCTTTGCATCAGGAAGTATGTAGGCAATTTCAATCAGGAAACAGTGTTGTGCTGTGATGCTACTGTTTGGTGGTAGGTGGTTTGGTGTTTGGTAAAGTTGTCTGAGCACACCAGTTAATAGTTATTGAGTGTGCTCCATTGGTTTGTAAGGGCTTAGCTGTTTATGATTGAACCTTCCCTTTGAGCATTCATTAAACAAAAGAATGATTTTTCTTAAACAAAAAATTTGCCTATGGTTTTTTTCTACCACAGACATGACCATTCATTTACAATGGTAACCAGCATATTTACATTTTCTTTTGTCCTCCACGGACAGGGTTAGAGATCTGTTAGAGATCAATGTAGTATAGTGAGTTATTGAGCACTCAAACATAGATGGCGATTGAAGTGGTTTTTCAATGCAAACCCTGCATTAATACAGTTTCATCTGTACTACATAGAAAGGGTCAGAGAGTTACTACAAGACATAATGAGTTGAGTATTAGATCAAATAAGGTGATTGGAGTGCTTTCACAATGCTAACCAGCATATGTGCAATATATATATTTACATCTATCTTGCATAAATAGGTTGAGATAGTACAATTTGTTATAGAGTATTGAACCACAGAATGTGATTAATGTGCATTTACAAAGGTAAATGCAATTTTAACCAGTCTACTCATAAGTACCAGTGGCAGAATGTCGTCTCCTATTTGCATTATCCTCTAAGACAACAGTGGATCTTACATTAGAGAGAAACAGAGCGAGTTATTCAAAAAAGGAACTTGGTCATTCAGAGCATTTGTATGCAAGATATCATTATGAATACTGTATTAAAAGTTGTGTTCTCTTGCTTGTGTTAAACAGTGCTCTCAGGAGTTACAATCCAGCTGTGGGCATGCAGAACGCTACTCAAAGACTGCAGACTCTCCTGGAAAGAAAAGAGGAACCCAGCCTAATTCAGATATTTTGATCCAGGGATGGCTCAAGATGCCCAGGTAAGTGCTGTTAGCTTGCTGTCCTCGAGGAGTGCCAAAGCCAACTGATAATGGTTGAGGTATTAGTTCCAAGGATCAAATACTGACACTATTTAACAAAATTAATTTATTTAACCATGAAAATCTTTTTAATAGTCGTTTCCACTCGTAATGTAATTTTGAAAAGTATTAATTTAATAAACTCTTATAAATTTAAGCCACGGATTGAATTGGTTTATGTTGATACAACAAATTATTAACCGTCCTCTGTGTCTTTGTTCCTATGATTCAGTCATTCACTAAGAAAGTAAGGAAAGGCAGTGCTGAAAAGTGGGTCAAATATATTTAAAGATTTATCCTGCTTTCCTCTGTGTTGCTTCCACATGCAGTCTTCATTGTTAAATACTTGATAGTTATTTGTGTAATGTGGATAGTTTGCAGCATTCCACTACCAGGTGAATGGTGCCTATCATGGTAATAGAAAATTAGGAATTTCAGTAGAGGTACACCAGGTACTTGTTTTTTAAGTATGGTCTGTCAGGATCTCTCTCAAGCTGCTGCTTTTAGATATTAAAGAGATCACATAGAAGAAACCCTGATTGTGATGAACATTGTGGAATAAATTCATGTTGCAAATGGAAATCATCAAATGTACCAGGAAATTTGGCCCAGTTTTCCTCTTGCTCTGCAACATTGGAAAGTGGCAACATTGCCCCCTTTGAGCAGTTTCTAATATTTGTATAATGAAAAATCTTGGCACTTGCACATTTAAGTTACATGAACATTGAAAGACTACTGATATCCATTTAGTGTGGATTGCTAGTAAACCAATACTGCATTATTTTGGGAAATCATCTCTGCCAATTGTATGAGCAGTACGTAAGTGTTGCACTGTACGACAACCCATCCAGGCACTGGACTTACTCTTAATCCCATCGTAATAATAGTTGCACAAGTGTTTAGATTAAAACTATTAATGCTTGTAATGTCCCACCAATTTAGTGGTCATTGCTACTAAAAGTGGCTGCCGGGAGATAGGTGGTACGCCACAAAGGTAAACACTGTAACAATTGGGACATGGAAGCACAAAGATGTTTAAAAAACTGGAAATGTTTTACCGCTATTAAAGAAAAGGAGACAAACAGGAAGTCCTGAACTATACAGCATATTGGCATCTTCGATATACATTCTCCTTCAAAGTACCGGAGAAAGTAATCCCGAAAGGGGGGCTTATGGACCATCTGGAGAAGACAAAGATTGCAGCTAAGAGATAACATAGATTTAAAGTGAGTAAATCATGCCTGGCAAATCTGATGGACAATTGTGAAGAGATTTAACACTACACAAAAAATTTAAGTTTTTACAGCACCGTAATTACTTTAATTATGAAAAGAGTTAAATCTCTAATATATATTTTCAGTACTTGGAGATTGTTTTATTGCATATTACCCTTAAATCTGATCTTTAGTGCTCTCAGTTTTCACTATCAAAATTAGTCTCTCTGCTTGTGTTTATATATCATAATGTTTTAGTGGAGTTGATGCGTAGTTCCTATGATTTCTTCGTATTACTTCTAAACATATTATAACTAAGAAGACTTTGAAAGATGCTTTTGCTCAACATTCTTTAAGCTAAACATAACCACATACTGGCTACTTTATAGTCTATATGCCATATGTTGTAGAAAGTTAGTATGAAGTTAACAAGTGATGATGAATACCTCGTTATTTGATGCCCCAAGTATATTGGTAAATATGTTCCACTCATATTCAGTACACTTAAAATATCTATTTATATAGGGCAGGCAAAGCTTGCTGGGAGAGTCACTTTGTCCGTCTGGAAAAGGAAGAACTTCTCGTATACGATCACGTACCATCTTCTGGCATGGAACCTCGTTCGAGAATCCAGCTCTGCCAACCTGGCTGCATGACGAGAGTAATGTCGGCTGTTCCAAGGTCTGAATTACCAAACACAAGCCTCGTGGATCTTCCTTATGTTCTTAAGGTGTGTGATTACATTCATTCTCATTGTTATCAACTTATATTTACTGGTAAGAACTAATGACCACTTTACAGATTTATCATAATACATTGAAGACAGGAATTGTACTATTTAAATAAGTTATAAGTAATACTGTTTTCTTCACAGTACATAATTTTTTGTAAGCCTTTAAATAATTAAGGGAGCAAGAAGTTTATTTTTTGCGAGACTATTCAGATATTCTGTGTATTTTATCTTACAGATTGAAATTCGAGCAAGTGCTGCAGCTAGACAATTGAATTCGGTGTACCTTATGACCACCAATTTTGAGGAAAAAAAACTCTGGGCATCAGCACTTGACAACATCATAGACGAGGTAAATTGCACTGCACTGGTGATATCCTCATTATTATTTTACAAGGTTATCAACTTCCATGGAGTGGGAATGTGTTTACATGTATGACTGGTCCTGTTTAGTACTCCGTTGGTTACACAAGTGTCACACTGTAGTTGTAATAGTAGTTATGTTATAAAATTGTTACCCTGGGTACTGTAGGCAAAAGAATTTTAATGCAAAAATTTGCACAAGAGTCCCATGTTTACACAGTAATATGAGGTGGGAAAGCTAGATCTTGCTTCTTACAGCATTACTGAGGACGAGCAGCACTCCCCCTCCATGTATACTCTAAATCAAAAATATATTTTATACATTTAGTTTTTCCTGATAAACTAGTAGTTAATGTAATTATGTACAATTGGGTCAAGCTTTTGTAAGAGTGAAGGATGTGCTTAATTTCCAGCAGTTTGTAAGACTAGTAGAGGGTCATTGGGGGCTGACGACCGCAGTGGGCGAGGCAAATATGTGAAGACGTCGGGAAAGCACCACATTTCCAGAACTTTTCATTGTGGAGTGCCAACACTACAGTACCCCTGATGTGACTCCACACTTGTGTTGTGGTGGTCTTGCATCACAGCACCCCCCAGATATTCCTCAAGTTCTGTTCCTCCAGATACAAATGTTAGGAAATGTAATATAAGGTTGACATGATATTATCAAATGGTTTGGGAGTGGCAAATGCTACCTTTCTTGGACATACCAAATCAAATCAAGCATGCAGTATGCATAGTTAAGAGAATGTGGCTAAATTTAAAAAGCCTTGTGACCGAATCAAGTTCATCATCTGAGCCTTTAGTGAAGTAAGGTTTTTGTTTCACTCCAAAGACCTATCACCACTTTCCCTATGCCATCTTGCTTTCATTAAATGCATTAATTTTTTTTTTAAATTTGTAATGATTTTTCTATAGGACAAGAGTATCTGTCAAAAGATTTTACTATATTTGTAAATAAAGTCAAGCTTGATTATCAATAAGTGAGCTGTATATGGGAGAACTGAAGTGTGTTACCAGTTGCCTTACTTACTGTTTGAAGCAACTCTGATATATATCCATCTTAAAGCCCATTTATATTTTCACAGATAATAAAGAAAGATGGTGATAACCAGGCAGACTACATAGAGCTAAATACTCTACTATCAATGAGCAGCCCCAACCTGCTGGATATTAACTCCCTGGTCTACCTTAACAAGACGGTAGGTGGTTGATTATATCTTAAATGTTTAGTCTTGAGAAGAAAGTTGTAATAAATTAAATATTATTAATATTGTAGGTGGCTATTTGCATAATGTTTGGAAAGTATATTATATTGGTACTGTTTTTAAATCCACTTTGTGGGGGCATAAGAAATTCTTCCATGGAACTTTGTAATATCATTGAATGTGCAATGTGTTTATAAGAAAGATAATGAATTTTTCACTTTGTTGAAAAGCAGTTAAGAAATATTACTACCCAGGAACAAATTTTTTTAATTTGTAATGTAGTAGAATTATTTAATGCCCCGGTACTGGGTAGTATTTAACTATCTTGAATACTTGGTTTACTTTACCATGTCTAGTAATAGGATTTCTATCTGTCTGATACCATTCAGTGAACCATTATTGGCAAAATCCAGTACCTGAAACATCAGAAGATTACGCTGCTGCTGCCAAGACTTATGACGATGATTTACTGCATCTGCAGGTGCAAAGTCTCGGCAGACACACGTTCTTTGGTATATCTGGCAGAGGAAAAGGGCTGACACTGTCCTCCCCTGTCTCCCTTTCTTCAAGTCATTCTGTTTGCTGATTTTATATTAGTTTGGTGTGGGTTTCTCAGCATTTCATCAAGAGATTAGTTAATTTGGCAACATTCAGAAAATCTCTTGAGAGGTCTTCAACAAACTCCTGAACTGATGTTTGAAAGCATATATGAAACTTACATTGTGCAGCAAACTAGAGAGAGCCTTGGATTGTCTGAGTATTGATGGTATGAGCATGGAGCACATTGGAAGGCCTCCTTCCAACCTTCCAATGTGCTCCATGCACATCAATCTTCTAGAGCAGGTTGATATTTTGAAAGGCTGAAAGTATTTGCTCTTTGTTACAGATGTTATTAGACGTAAAATATTTGTTCTTTCTGCCCATTACTCCTGCCTGCCTTCCTTAGGCTGGTTCAGCATTACTTGTTGGTACTGTCACTTTAGAATATCTGTAAAATACACTGGCAGTCGTTCACTGTACTTCATTTCCTATTTGATAAAATGTGTTTGAGAAACTTTAGTAGAGCAGGTCTATTCCTGAATCCTAGTCTGGTCATAGCGACTAAATGGAATGCTTTTAGGTCATACATATATTATACATATATACATACATACACATTTTAAGCTTTTATGATACAGTACAGTATTACTATGGCTTTGGCATTCCTATAAATTTCACTTAAAATCTACACAATCCTTATATACATGCACATTTATTATTAAATTTTTGTTGACAATTTTTGGTATATGTACATTTATTGATTTATTCTTTCTTTTCATTAGACAGTTCTTGCTGGAGCAGTGGAAGGACTGTACTCATTTGAAGCCGATCAGAGTGGTAATCTAAAGTCACGAGCACGCATCGAAGGACTCTCGGCTGTTCATCAAATTTTACTGGTTGATGGAGCTGGAGTGGTACTTTTTATTGCTGGTATGCAATTATATGTCTTTAACTTTTTTGCTAATATAAGCACAATCATCTAAACTCTTAAGTTATTCAGCTGTCGAACTGGATGCCAGTAAATCTGTTAATGAACTAGGTAAGAGTCAAGTTAACCAGTGGAACAGATGTTAACATTAGGTAAACGGTTCTGTACTGGCAGTGCCAGATTATCCATTAGGCACAGTGCCTAAGGCCTAAGAGGTAGTAGGGGGACCTATAAAAAATATAAAACTGTTCTTCCCCCATTTTCTACGGGATATTATTAAATTTGTACCAAAGGCATATTCTGGTCAGAGATGAAAGCCCAAATCTGTAGTAGGTACTCGCTTGTGTTCTTAGTGAATATTGTTGGGATCACTCCCTGGGGAAGATACTTCCCCTCCCCCTTCCCCCAACTGTTGATTGAGAGTCGAGCCAAAAGATCCACTCGACAGTGACCTCTAGCATAACCTTGACAATTATCATTTCAGGGGCACTGGAAACAACTAGCCTGGCCATTGTTATATGCAATGCACTTATGTAAATGGCTGAGCCCTAATAATCTTGTTTGTTTTCTTTAGGGAAAACAAATCATTTTATGCATGTATAGGTCATACTGCTCTTCATCCACATAATATTTTTAGGAAATACTATTGAAATACATTAAACAACCTGACTTTAGATATGTAATTCCAAAATGTACCCTATACCAATTCCCATGGGCGGTGGTAGAAAGGGTTACAGAGGCACATAATTGGTTCAGGAACTGAACCCCATAGTTCGTTTAGCTAAGCAAGTGACAGTCTTGTGAAGCTAGTTACACAATTATGAATGTTATATATGAATGTACACATATCCATATACATATCATTAATCATTTTATATCACAAGCGATTTAACAAGAGGCTCACAAGTCTCTATACAAGGGCACTTTTACATCTACAGTAAGTCACAGTTACTAGTCATGCTCCACACCCATCAACTGAGCAGCAGCTTTACAGTCATGTGCAAGCCGCACCTACAGTAAGCAAGTTTTGGATACTTCACTAAGATGTGCATCTTAGTGAAGAATTGGCACATTTTGTGTTAGAAAAATCATTCAGAATAAACTTAAGGATATTTCTAAGTCAACCACTTGTTTTATTTTAGGGAAGGATAACTTGGTGTTTAAGACTGATTTGAGATCACTGACGGCAACAGCTGAAGCCATGCAACTTACCAAGCCGAGCGTGAATCCCACACGTGTGGAGCCTCTACAGGGTTGTCATCTCCTTGCCTCAGGTCGTACAAAATTAGGAGAAATATTTGTGTGCGCAGCTGCCACAGATCGAATAAGGTACAGAGATAATTGCCATACTACTTCTATTACGACGCTGCTTTTTTGAACGCATACTTATTTGTATGTAGTATATTTGAGGCATATATATATATATATATATAATCTACTTCCTGTTTAGAGTACATCAAATTTCTTTAACTAGTCAGTTTGTATCCAGTGTAATTACTAACAATTTTCAGGCTTTCACTTCTCATTTTGGTATAAAAAAAAAGTTTATTGGTAAGGAATTTGTTATTGTTTGTATGAGTTTGAGCAAAGCTTGAGAAATAAAACAATGGTGCTTCTAGTGGATATGATAATAGAGCCAAGTTTTTAGAAGAATACACAGAATGTCATATTTCCCTAAAAGTTAAGATGGTGCATTTTAACATCATACAAGAGAATGTTTTATAAAGTCAATCATAACTTTAACTTATTAAAGTTATGACAACAAACATTAACTTGACTTACTCTAACTTGGGTTAACATTAGACCTAAAAAAAAAAAAAGTTGAGGGGTGTTGGAGTAAATATGAAAAATTCTTTCCTGGGCAGATCATTTGGTTGCAGTCCAAGATTAGAGCCACAAATTCTATAGGAGAGGTTCACAAACAATTAGGCAGGTGGATATTCTGGCACTGGCAACGTGTGAAACCTTTGAAGCATCGCTGCAGGGTAATACTAGTGCTACAGTCAACAGAACAGAACCTCTTGCATGACCTGTGATGGATCCCAGATCTTAAGCCTTTGACCCAACCATGAAGAAACCTGGATTCTAGAATCTACATTATCTAAGCTAACAGTCTGTTAATGGCAGATAACTAAAGATGAGCAATGCTAATGATACAATAACCAATATGGCTGCTAACTTGGCCAAAGCAAAGCCTGCTATTTTTTGGTAAATGGAATAGAGAGAGCGAGAGCCCACATACTAAGTGAAGTAACAACTGAACATCCATATTGAGCAGCAACATACACCTTCATATCTGTGCTACATTGTAGAGGACCATGAATGCTGTGGTATACAGTTGTGTTCTGGAAACTCGGTGGAGTGAAGCTCTTGCACAAAGAGCGCAGGTCAATGTATACACATGACGTTTTATGATATATAATATGTGTATATACAGTGGAACCTCGACTTACAAATTTTTCGAGTCACTATCCTAATTTCATCGGAAAATTCGACTCGACTTACGACCTTTGTCTCGACTTGTGACTTTGTTGATACATGTATGGGTCGACGGAGCGCGTGGGTCCTGGTGGGACAGACAACCCCGCTTTAGTTTACCAAACCACCTACTTAGTGATGATCGCGCTCGACTTCTTTGTTCAGAATTTCATTGTTTTTGTGATTTTGTTTTTTGAACATAAAAGTAATTATTATATATCATGCCATGGGTCCCAAGAAAGTCAGTGGGAAGGTTCAACCTAAGAAAATACATGTCAGGATGACCACAGAGGAAAAAAACAAGAGATCATTCATAAACACGAAGATGGTGTGTTGGTTGTTGATCTTGCTAGGCAGTACAACAAATCTATGTTAACCATATCCACCATACTTGCTAAGAAAAAGGACATTTGAGTGCTAAAGTGGCAAAAGGTGTATCAATACAACTTTTAAAAGGGGAAAAGCGCAGGGAAAAATTAGTTTTTCCCAGTAACGTAGGGGAAAAAAAGTCTGTGGAAAGGTTCTTAATGAGAAAAACAAGCAGTCACAACCAGGTCCTGGTGGTATGCAGGCAAAATGTAGGAGAGAGTACCCCAGAAAAATCACTTCCTGATGTTATAATGGAAGCGGACTCTCCTTCCAAACAGTAACACCTCTCCTCCCCCCCCTCCTCACCGTCTTCTATATGCCCACAAGTCATCAATTAAGGTAAGCTATAACTTGAACATACTGTAGTACAAAATACAGGTGTATTATGTATGAAATGTATTTTGAAGGTAATATTTTTGAGTGTGGAACAGATTAATTCAATTTACATTATTTCTATTGGGAACATTCGTTTCGAGTTACAAATTTTCGAGTTACGACCCATCTCTGGGAATGGATTAAATTCGTAATTGGAGGTACCACTGTATATGTATATACTTGTACTACTTGAATATGATCCTTTATGAATTATTGTTCAATGTTTTCCTAGCACTAGTATGCCCCAAAGGAAATAGTGTGAAAGTTTTCCCTGTAACAATGGATAAGGTTGACTTCCCCTGCTTGCTCCAGATCCTAATCTGAGGGTTGTCAATACAGTCATTCATTAGAGAGCAACTGAGTAGGATAGCTCAGAAAAGAGCTTTTTGTGTGTACAGGCTATTGACTGCTTATTTACCTTTGCTTTTTAATGTACCTGTTTGTCTACATAAGTGATATGTAGTGTGATGGAGGCAGATAAATGTGCATTTTTTTACAAATTTCACTCCAGCACGGTGCCACTATTTATTACCCCCCCCCCCCCATAACACAGGGAAAAAAATACACTTCGTGATAATATTTTAAAAATGCATTACATAGTCACAGGAAAATGAGAAGCTATTGTATGTGAATTACTTTGGTTATGGTGAAGCCCAGAAGTTATATGATTCAAGAGCATTCATTCAGCATTCTTCCCATAGTGGTCTGCCCAAGTCCACCATGGAGCAAGAGTTGCCTCACAAGATTTTTAACTATTTCAATGTCTGATTTAGTTTTTCTGTTTGTTTTTTTCTTGCCAGAAAAATTATTCAACAGTTTATCATTTAGAAAATGTACATAATAAAATATGTGGAACATTGGAATGCTCAAATATATTAGTGTCACTGATATGTACACAAAATTATATGCTTATAACCATAACACATACAATGTTTGCTGTTAGTGCACTATATACACAAGTCATTTATAACTACATTTTTATGCACCATTATGAACCACTAAGCAGTTCGAGTGGATATGTAGTGAAATCCAAGCATAGCATAGTGACACAGGCAGACAATGTCACCCCCTTCCAGAAAAATACCTCCAATATACTACTTTGCACATTGCTAAATCTAGCCACAACACTGCTCTTATTATCAAGATTCCTGTTACTAAATCATGAATATAAATGTGAATACACAAATCATGAATACACAAGAAACCTTGTGTTCCTTTATAAAACTCATGGAAACATTCCATGATGTGTAAATGCACAGAACCACAGCTGAGTGCTGTGAATGTCTGCCTGCCTCCCATTGTGAACATCATAACCAATATTTCGTGTTCACTGATATCTGAACATTGTACATAGTTTTTGTCACGGTCAGGATCTTATGACACCATCAATGTAATCATAATTATTTTTGTTCATATTAAGTGATGGTGTGGGTACAAGCTGCACGGTGGTGGTGTGAGAGCTGCTCCAGCATGTGCTACCCCATGCTCCCTTTCTCAATAATGAGGCCTTCACACCGAGGAGGAGGTACCCATGAATGTTTTCAAAGATGGCATCTGTTTACTGGAGGCCTGAGGAAGCAAATGTGAGCCCTGTGTATGGGCAGGACTTAAATTGTACGTGATGCTTTTAATCATCTCTCTTTGACTCCCGTAGTAGGGTCAGATATGGCACAAGTTTCCCTGTTTGACATGCACAGTAGATGGGGAAATTAGTTGATGCTCACATGATTTCTGAATTTGTTTGTGAAGTAAAAAAATAATTATAGATTTCTTGTATTAACAGCATCCTAGTCTGGAACAACTTGCAAGAGGTGTTCACAGTGTGTCGGCAGTATAGCACACAGGAGCCCTGCAGCTGCCTACACTTCACCCAGGTTTCACTCATTGTCGGAGCAGAGAAATTCTACGAAATTGACCTCAAGACGTTTGATATTGATGGTACGGTATTTGTGATGGCCATTGAAAAGGATTTCAATACACAATTCCATATATTTTTTTCCACATGAGAGGGAAAAGTGGTAGGAAAAATCATATTAGGAGTTAAGCCTTTTAACTGTGAGGTTTTGTCAATATTTTTTTTTTTAAGAGTACTGTAATTAACATTCAAACATTTGAAGATTAAAACATTAATGTAATCCAAGCAGCTGAATGAGTGTAAAATTACTTTTAAATGGCTTTGAAACTATATGATCTAGGATTTGGAATCGAATGTTAGGTAAGAATGAGTTTTATATTTATATACTGCATATCTCGCACTCTTCATTCCCCTACTTTGTTTGTGTTGGTCATTATAAACTCCCTTAACATTATAAAGTGTTGATCCTCCCATCCCACAGCTACATTAACCACTGCACTGCACCAAACAACAAATGTCGTTTTGAGAGTTGTGCGTTTTTTTTTTTTTAACTAGGCTATATTTTAATGTTTTTAAATGTTTTCATCAGTCTTTATGTTTTGAAATTAAAATAGTTGAGTTTGGAAACATTTTGACATTAACTTTACCTGAACATTTATAAAAACAACAAAAATATGTCCTTAACAATTGGACTATAAGGTTTTTGCCACAAACAGGTGCGCAGTGCAGGGGTTAAGGGATCGCTGGCATACATCACTAATTCAGGTGCTTCTCAGTATTGGTACGTTGACTTTTTCCCAACATTAGGGGTGCAGATCTTGTCCCCCTTTGCATAAAGATCTCGAAGCATCCCTCACTATGTGAGAAATTCTGTATTCTAGTCACTTTGATTTTTAGTAAAGGATTGGGGAAAAAATGTTCATGGTGTTTATGACTTCTTGACACCTTTGTAGAGTGTTTAACCCTTAAATGACTTGGCTAATTGTCTTTCATCATCAAGCACATGACAAAAAAAAATTTAGAAAACAAATTAAAAAATTTTGCATTTGGCAATTAGAGCAGAGAAGGCAACTAGAGGTTGCTACCAGAGCTGTTAAGGAGCAGCAATTGAATTATGTCATATGTAAGTCTAACTGTATTGTACATTTAGAAGTTGATCGACTTTAAATCATTTCTTTAATTTTATTTTAATGACTGCTATTTCCTTTCCAGAATTTCTTGATGTATCTGATGCCTCACTTGCCTATGCTATACATGGATCTTCTCAGATGTCTTCATTTCCAGTTGCTATAATGCAGGTAATTATTACACATGGTGTCAAAGCTTTACATTATCAGATTAATCCAAACAAATTACTATTTATCCCCAGCAGTTCTAAATATTTCTCTGAAATAGTTTATTTCTCTGAATGCTTTTAGAGATGGCAGCTTTGCTTAGGTATTTAGCCATTGGGCGTGTATTGATACATGAGCGTGTCTAAAGACCGACACACTCGCACACACACGCACACATGCACACGCACACGCAATGACAATCACACTTGAGAAATTGATTAATATAAACCCAAACATTTTTTTTCTCCAAAACAGGTGTTTGGAATGTGATATTTTTCGTAGTCCAAGAAGTTCTTGCTGTCTGTAACTTCTTAAACAAGTTACAATTAGATTATTACTCACATTTTCCATTATTAAAGTTTTTTAAATTCATATTTAGTGTTTAGCTAAGATTAATGTAAAGTTAGCCAACATATCTTATGAAGAGTGCATCTTCAATCCTAAATTTATTTACATGTCATTGATGTGTGTGCAGTGTATAGTACTGGAATAAACCATTAGGAAAAGGGTCATTGAACACAACTTCTGTAATGTACAGTATTTGCCTTGTAGATAAAGGCCACCTTACAAAAAAAAAAATATATAACTAAAGGCCTCTTTCTGGGTGAACCCCGGTGGCTCCCTGGAACTGTCTCGCTGAGATGGCTCTCAATTACAGGGGACCAGAGCCAGAACCTGGCCACCCCTCCTCACAGAGGAGCAGTGACAATGTGATACACTGCCACCCCAATGGGAAAACATCTAGAAAGCAAGCAACTTACAGCTGCATATAGTCAAAGTTCCCTTTCCTTGGTGCTCTGTAACGCTGCCCCTACACTTACAGGTCTCGTCTGGTGTGTTTAGGAACTCCTTCTCTTGGAGGCCGGATCTCTAGGGTGGTGAAGTCTCCTTGGGTAAGTTGAGGGTCTTACTGCCTCTGTCCAGGTTCTGGGTCAGGAGTGAGCATTTTGGTTGGTTGGGGTGCACTGGTGGTTCATACACTTGTCCACACAGCACACTGAGGTTGCCTTTCTCAGCCAAGTTGCCTAGGTTGGGTCGGCTTACTTTATTATATTCGGTGAATGTCCCCAGTGCCTGGGTGTCTTGTCCTTCAGGCGCTGAGAATTCCCTGTGGGTTCACTATGGCCTGTGGACATCCCCTCGATATGGGTAACCCACTCTTGCCTTGAGAGTTTTAGGGCTGTTTGTCATGCGTTAACAATGCATGACATAACATGAAGCATTGCTTTTCCCATGTGGCTCTTCTTTCTAAACCTGATGCTGTTCAAGAGTATTAGGCAGCTTACATGTTGCAGGCTCGTTTAGCCCACCTCATTAGTCCTGGTGGGCGTTTTCTTCATCTGCAGCCGTCTCCTTTTTTTGGCAACGAGTCAGAGGGCTTCTGTAGGGGTCCTTTGATAATTGAAGCTTGATTAGTTTGGCCGGGGTGTATCATTTGATATCCGATAGCAACTCTTCGCTACTACCTCAATGACACCAAATCTGCCTTAGTGGATCTTTATTGGTTGAGCTTCTTTCCTTGGTCCCCTGTTCCAAGGTCTGTATTTCTCAGGTCATCCACAGTGCTATCAAGTCTAACCAGCCTGCAGTCTACCCTCACACCCTTGATGTTTGCAAATATACTGTGCAGGGGGGGGGGGGCATTTTTTTCTCTCTCTCAAACATGTCCTGGGGTCGATATTTGAGCACATGGATTTAAGTGGTCTGACATGGTCTTGGCAGCCCGGTATTTAGTATCCCTGGGCCCCTGTTGTACCCATGTTCCTTTGGGCCGTGTTTCCCAGCCTCGTGGCAGTACATACTTTGCTCTTGTACTAGCCATATCTTCTCTGCCCTGGTAAGTCCCTTGTCTTCTTCTTTGTGGTTATTTAGTTTCAAGGAGCCATGAAGGGGTTCCTCCAGAAACCAGCATTTAATGTAATACCTTTTACTGGTTGAGCCTTGGTGGCTCCCCGACACCTTTCCTCCTGTGACGTAAAAGTGAAAGAATAGAGCAGTGGCTATTCTGGCTGGTGAAATGCCAATCACATTAAATAAAAAAGTAAATAAAACTGCTCCTGACCTCTTTACGGTGTGAGAACTGCAGGATAAATTCCAAAAGAATGAAAAATTTAAATATTTAATGTAACAAAAATGGCTTTAACAACAAATAAAACAATTCCCCTATGATACTTGGCAAAACACAATGCAAAATGAACAGGTGACAGTTACGTTAATAGCAAATACAGGTGCAAAACCTAATACTTTATTCAAGAGCTGCTCGAGTCTACCGACACTCGGGGGAGCGAGAGTAGATCTTGCAGCTTGGAGCATGAAGAGTATTCTGAGGTCTGGCCGGTGGTGAGCTGCTTACATAGGCGGCCAGGCCTATTGTAGGTGGCGCTGATGTGCATGTAACTATCTTTAACTAGCGGTTCAGCTACTCGACCGGCGAGTGGAGTTGGCCCCCAGTCAGTTGTCTCGGGTACTTGAGGGTGGAGAGGGGGGGGGGGGTCTGCTCCCGACACAGGCTTCTGAACACGTATTATCATTGTTGATTACTTATACTGGAGTATGCAGATATGTTGTTGAATAGGCGGTAAAGGAATAGGCAGGATCTCCTTGCCTAAGCAACGGATTTCTGTAACACTCCTTTCCAGATCATTGGTCGGTGGGTTCATCTGCTATAGCAGTGACTTGGGAGAGTTGGTGGAGGACTGGGGCTCCGGGCCCACTGGTGGTGGTGGTTTGTGGGTACTAAAAGCTTGAGCTAGTTTAGAGTGATTTGATAGTTTTGTTTGAATTATTTGAGGAGTCTTTTTAGCAGCTTTTGAGACTTTGGTTTCTATGAAGGTTGTAATTTAATTCTGTAATGTGGAGCCAACTTTCTGAAGGGGTGGCAGAATGTCACCTGCTCTCTGCACCTCTGCGGGGGAAGGCCAGGTTCTAGCTGTGGTCCCCAAGAAGCCAAAGTGAACTTCCACAACAGAAGTGACCTAGTGAAGAGAGGCTCCCTGAAGCTATCTCAGTGAGAGCCTCAGAAAGCTACTGGGCCTCAACTAGAAAAAAAGGGTTTCGTTACATTCAACTCTGAAAGGAATTAAAAAAATCCAATTATATTTTTGTTTCAGGTTTCCAAACCAGGGAAACATGAAGAATATTTGTTATGCTTCCATGAATTTGCCGTCTTCGTGGATCCCTGTGGACAGCGTTCAAGGGAGCACGATATAAAGTTCACTCGACTGCCAATAGCAATTGGTAAGAATTTTTTAGTTAATGTTTACCTGAAAATTTTACTTTTAGGAATGTTAAATATTGTTTAAATTTAGATCCTTATTAGCAAGCCTCATCAATGTCAACGGTCTGATCTTGTAATGCCCTTACCATATATTTTAACACTAACAGTTCAATGACACTAAAATGCATCATCCAACTCACTGCAGTAAATGTTCTTGAAATGCTAAAATATGCCATCCATTTCTAATTAACCAAAAATCACTTATTACCATTATTATTTTTGTTGTTGTTGGGTGGGAAGGATGGGGAGCACTGTGTGGGCATACCCTCTCTGGTGGGCATTGCCTCTCTGGTGGGCATAGCCTGATGCAAACCAAAGTATCGAGAAACCACTGAGAAATCACCTCGGCTGGCTACCAGTCACTCAAGACAATTTCTCTGTTTGCAAGTTTTATCACAATGCTTTGCAAATTACCTGCCAGAAAAGTATAAACATTTTGTTTTTTACAGCAATATAGACTGATCATGTGCACACATTTCCATATTTATTTATTAAAAAAATAGAGAATTGTTGAAAAATGACGAATGTTCAAATGTTCAACATTCAAGAATTTTTATATATCCAGCACTCACCCATAATCTGCTATCAAAATACATTTTATTTTACATCTACTACATACTCTAGAAAATTAATTTGTTGAACATTTTTACACCAAATTTATAGTTATAGCTCAAAACCTATCTTGAGAAAACAAAAAGAATATAAACATCTTGTGCCTCACTGAATGGGAGCTGGAGATGCCCAGAATGTTTACAGAGGTATGCAACAATGGATCGGCACGTTAAAAGTGTTAAAGCATTATCTGAATATTGTATTCACATCGAGCTACTGCATTTAAGAAGTACGAGACAAATATGCAGTAAATATCATTCAGTTTACCAATACAGTGTGATCAGCGCATCCTCCTGTTTTGATAGTACGACTTATAAGAAGGATGAGGACCATAGTACCATATACTGACATACAATGCAACTAGAAAGAACTCTATACTATTGAATTTGGACAACCCAGAAAATAATTTTCTACTTACATTGCAAAGACCAACTTACCTAACCTAAGATATTTAATTTATTTTAAACTTCATTTTTTCTGACTATAAAGTAAATAGTACCAAATTCTATTATCTAATTGCTTAGTATGTCAATGTTTGTACTATGGTGCACATAGTTCCAAAAAGTACTATGTAAACAGGAGGACGGGTTGGTGTGTTGCACAGTTCTCTGGTTTAACATTTTTATATTTCACTGGATATATCTTCTGTTCAGAGCTTGAGTAGTGCAGTCATATTGTTGAACAATTTGTGAGGCAGTACTGTAATTCATACCACTAATCCTAGTACAGTACTTTATATTTAACAGATAACTGATCCATTATGGCTGCCACTAGTCTGAACCATTCATAAATATTTTCATTACAGAGAGATTAATCACACTTGTGTGATGTATCAATGAGAAAGTCCATAGGAGCCGTGATGAAGATTGGAACCTATGCCGTGGGTAGTCCCACTTCCTGGTCTGGCTTCAGTGGAAGCTTAAGGAAGTCCTCGTGTGTTCAGTAGAACTCCGGGTTGCAATCCTTTTGACTATGTCGTGGCCTGGTTGTCTGGGGCGCGTGCGGGGGACTACCCATTGCATAGGTTCGAGTCCTCGTCATGACTCCTGCCCCTTTTCTCAATATTTATATCATTAAAACACTTAGGCAGACAAGCCAGTAAGAAATCGGTGCCTTATGTGGGTTGGGTCTGTTGGAAATTGACAGACCAGTGATAGATAGGGAGCCAGAATCCATGGGAAAATCAATTATGGAAGTTTGCAATCTGGTTCATTGTTTTTAGTCGATCGCAATCCAGCATGAGTACCATGCCAAACTGGCCCCCACAAGATGTGTTCCTTGCACTTTTACTCTTCCTCATCCTGACAAAAGGCAGGATGACAACCAAATCTCATGTGAACCTTTGCAGGCAAAGGTTAAATGAAAATGAAAATTGGAACAGTATAAGACAGAAAACTGGAATTGGATATCAGTGAAGTTTTCCAATGAACAACAGAAAATGTTCAAAGATGATTAATTCAGATTACTTTATGGGAAAAACTAAAATCTTAAGACAAGTACAGGATACATGACCCTGTCAGATAAACTTCATTGCTCCTGTCTATATTAAGACCTGAGGAATAATTATGCAAGAAGATGGATCTTTAAGAGAGCATAAAAAAAAACATATCAACAGCCAAGAAAATCATAGGGTGGATAATAAAAATCTTTAAAACCAAAATGCTATATCAATCATCATGCTGTTGAAAGCACTAATCTATTTCAAAGGTAATGTTGCTTGGTCCTTGCATACTCTTTCAATGCAGCCAAGATACCTTTCTTGCCTGCATTGAAATCCTTTACTGGCTGCAGGGAATCTGCTGTTTTTTTTTTTTAGGTGGTTTTCAATTGGACAACTTGTCCAAACACGGTGCAAAGCCTATCCATATTTAATAGCTTTACCGAATGGCTGAAGTGTTTGTACACACTGTAATCATTCACTAAACCAGCTGAAGTTTACCCATAAATGAGTTATTCTAGCCTAGTAAAATGTGTTATTGAATCTGATTTTTTGTTTCTCTTCAGCATACAGGAGCCCGTATTTGTACATCCTACATCAGAATGCTGTGGAAGTAATCGAGATCCGTCCAGATTGCTTTACAAAGGTATCACCAGAAGCAGAATCAGACAGTGATTTGTGTCTACCTGTCAGAACAGCTTCCAAAAATATGCCAAGGCCTTCTTTTCTGGGTATGTCCAATTTGTTTACATAGCAAGAGTTTTTGTGTTTTTTTGTTTTTGAGTAAGCTATATCAAAGGAGTTCATTTTGAAAATAGTAATAAAAAATTAAATTGAATAAACAGTCATTTTGAAAATATTAATAAATAGTAACAGGTGTAAAATCTAATGGTAATGTTAAAGAAAAATATTGGGGTAGGTAAACTGGTAAAGAAAAATTTGAAATACTACGGGTGGAGAAAACAGTGTGAAAGTGATGAAAGAAGTGTAAATGTGAAGATAATTTGTGTGAGAAGAGTGCAAGGTATAACACCAGCACATGTGTCTGCTGGTGTTACACCTTGCATCAGTGCAAAAGCTGAAATAGCAATATTGGCAACATTTCCATAATACAAAAACTTTGTGAAAATTGTCTCTGTAGTTTTTCAGTCTCCTCATAATGAGAGATGAAAAAATTTTCGGTGAACAATGTAAAACATGTTCAATGGTGACAAATTCCATTTACTGTGGAACAGAAAAAGCAAGATCTTAAAATGAGAATAGAATAAAGAGAATAGAATGAGAATAAAACAAATGTAGTAAGGAAAGGTACAGGTTGTACAAGGTGAACCTTCAAAACGAAGAATTCCTCTTCGATATTGATACTTTTCCAAGCACTGATGTTTTCTCACAATGAATACTGCTCTGTGGTCATATTCCCTTTCAAGGCAGGCAGATTTCTGAGCCAGAACATGTACAATGCAGAACATTTTCTGTCTACGACGGATTGGTTAGGCATTTGAATTGCATGTTCTGGGACTGCCTCAAAAGTATACAGTTTGAGTATACACTCAAACTGTATACTCTGGATGGAAACAAGATAGGTACCTAATAACATGCTCATGGAATATACAGTGACAATAACAACTACAGTACTGTATTCCAACCCACTGGTGTGTGTGTGTGTGTGTCTGTCCTCCATTCTGGTCATCATAAGCTGTGTTCTAGGCAACCAGGATCACTGAGATGTGCATCCGGTATCTTGGGGCTGGTGCCTTGCTCTTTCAAGGGGGCATGATCCTGGTTCTGGTGGCCTTCTTTGACTGTTCATGTCAGAAAATAATTTATCTAATTTCCCATTTTCATTGCCACAAGGAAGTCCTTAGCATTAGAAGAGAGATGACACAAATGGTGTGAAGGTGTCGCTACATGAATATCACTTTGGCTGACTACTTAAACTATTTGCATCATTGTTGATGTGCATGAATAATTATTTATACACTAATTCTTATGATAGATAAATCTTGCAGCCCATCAAAATGATTCAAACCATAATTAAAACCTATTGGCATGTGAATTGTTATTCTTTACCAACAGGGCCAGCTTTATCTCCAGAAAGTATTGTTGTAGCCTCAAGAAGTTCAGATAAACTGGGAGTTGTGGAGATCTGTGCGAGCTTCCCCGAAGACATGGACCTTAACTCCACATGGGGTACTCTACTGTCGGTCTCTCCAAAATGGTTTGTACACTTTTGCACTAAGTATTGTACTTAAATTATTGCAGAAATTTCAACTCAAAGGTATAAATTTAAAATATTGTGACTGGAATAATCCTAAAGTCAAAATTGTTGTAGTTAAAGAAGAAATATACCATGCAGATGCTGTATTTGTGAACATTTAGCTTTTTCCATTTTTCAGTGCACATTCCTGTGTGATAATTTAACGTCAGCTCATTTCCAAACAAAAAAAAAACTAAAAATATATATAATATTTAAGCACTGTCATCATAATCTTGGTGTAATGGATGTGATGTAAATAAAGATGGTAATACTAGTTTTAGTACTGCAGTGTGTGTGTATGAAGTTTAGTTATGCTGGTCTTGAATGGTCTTTCTCCCCCCCACCCCCCTCTCTCTCTCCTGCATGTGTGACTAGTGTCGGGTGTAGATGGTGAATCTGTTTGAGGCTGTTAATTGCGTCACTACTTATGATGTAGCTACTCTATTAATGCCCATGCATTTGTGTATTCATTACATTCAACCCCAAGTTGAATGTAATGAAATGTCCCTTTCTGGTGGAGCCCCAGTGACTTTCTGTAGATATCTCACTAAGATTGCTCAGTACTATCAGTTCCATCAGATGTGGAGTTCTGTTTGGCCTACCAGAACCTGACCCCTATCACAAAGGTGCAAAGCAAGTGACATTCTGCCATTTTGCTGAAAAAGCCTCCAGAAAGTCAGGGAAGCTTGATGGACAGCTGATGGGTTCACAACATTCGGAACCTCGAAACTACCAAACAAAGAAAATACTTGAAAGTGGCTAGAACCTGTTAAAAGTGAATGCCACCACCAGATCTTAGTTTTGGAGCAGATGAACATGGAAGGGAGGATGGAGACAGGGAGCCACTGGGGCACTACCAGAAAGAGGCATTTTATTACATTCAACACTGGGTTTCTAGGGGGAGCCCCGTGATGGCTCCCTAAGGTAAATAACCACAGAGAAAGATACAGACTTGCTATGGAAGAGGGGCAGCAGGCACCGAGTTGAAGAGACCAACAGCTAGGAAACATGACCAAGGGCAACTAAAGACCAAAGAAGGCCAAGGACATTGAATAAATACTTAACCACCATGACCCTATTAGACTGGAAAAACCCCAAGCCCAAATACAGCATCCATCCAAGGTATGCTGAGTGGATATTTGGTTAGGTTAGTCTGCCGCAAATCTCCCGTAAAGGAGAGATTCCTTATTCCGACTTTTACCCAGTTATTCATTCCTCCATCCTTGCCTGTTGGCAGGATTGTTGGTCTTCTGTTGCTGGTAACACACTGCGTACTCTTAAGTGTAGTGTGTCCCCATGGCCTTCCTCCTACCACCGTAACCGGCGATGGGAAACTGCTCTGGCAAGGTTGCGTATTGACCATACACACTTAACTCACGGTCACTTAATGGAGCGCCACCCTGCTCCTTATTGTCCAAATTGCATTGTCCCTTTTACAGTCGTACATATCCTTGTTAAATGTCTCGACGTCCAGGACGAGCACGTGTCTTGCTTTCCGACCGTCCCTCGCGGTCACTTGTTCCTCGATAGAATTCTTTTCTATCAGATTCTTTTGATATCGTTCGCCTTATGCATTTCTGTTCTTGTATTGGCAACCTTGGTGATATTTAGCGCCCTCTGATTATTCTGCACATTTGATGGTGCTACATAGCCTTCCTGGTTTGGTGCCTTCTTTTGATACAGTAATTACTTAATCTGCCACAAGTGCAGCATGCTTGCAAACATCATGGGGGGGCCAGGGGTAGACCACAGGCTGGGTAGCCATGATGACACTGGACAACCTGAGAAATAAGATCCTTGAAATAAGATGGAGATCCCATTCCAAGACAATAACCTCTACTTGTGCTGCAAATGGCAGCCACAAGGTTGCATGTGGTTTCCATTTTCAGGGAAAACATCCTCAATGCATGGGAACACCTGTCTGTTTTTTTACTGTTGGTTTTGCACCTATTGGGTCTGTGATGCTTACAATCCTGAATCCTCTGGGACTTGCTCTCCACGGATCCTGATCCTCTCTAATTCTGCTTCTGAAGTGAAAGCATTTCAGGTAGGTGCCACATTACGAGATAGGATTGGCCCAGTTTCAGCATTTGTGGTTTTGTGCTCGGATGGAAGCCCCAGAATTGCCCTATGTGGTGCTTAGGAACCCAGACTTGGAGGTGTTTATCTCCACCTCGGCTCCAGCTGTGCCTCCTCTTCCATCCTTGCAGGTATGGTTCACCCTGCTTCAGTTCCTCCCCTTTGCCCGGCCCCCACTTCTGGCTCCAAAACATCCAAGGGTTTCGAAGCCGGAGCGGAGTTTAGCTTGGAGTGTAGCTCTGCAAGTTCCAAGGGTTTCTCCCTCCTCCTCGAGCATGGAGGTAGTTGAGCCATATAGTCCAGCCAAGGTTATGGAGTTTTCTTCTTTACAGCTGCAAGTTTCCTCCATACCTTCTCCTTTGGAGGATACCTTTCTTTACCAGGTGTTGGATGATTACTTTGGTTCTGCCCCAGAATTTTCATGGCGTGCTCTTTGGGCTGGATGATCCCGAATTTGGCCCCAAGATTCTTTTGTTACTTCCATTTAGTGTCATATGCTCACAGAGGAATTCTCTTCTCCTGATTGGTCTGAGTTTGATTGAGCTGCAGCTTTCACCAAGATACATTTCTGTATACTGTTCAGTCCTGTGGCTTTGTCTTTCCAGAGGTTTCCCTCTTTCCAAATCTCCCCTTCGGTCACTTGTGAAGACCTTTTGCAGTACTTCCTGTGGCATTCAGACCTCACTTCTATTATGGACCCCTGCTTCTTTAGAGTTTAGGTGTTGGCTTCTCTCTATATATCTCTCTCTCTTCTTTTGGCCTCATCCTGGCTGGCTGACAACCCCCTTTCCCCTTTTTTCCTGCCACTTTCCAGCGAGATGGCTCAGGGTTTCTTTGCTCCTGGCAGGGAATGTGGTTCCAGTTCATTAGTTTATCATGAATGATTTCCCTTCTGTCCGCAACTAGTTTTGGGCAGTTTCGGTCTTAATCAAGGAAGAGGCAGCAATGTCTACTTTGGCATATTTGGGTGATAATCAAGAGCCTTTCTTAGACTTACCAGCTGTCTACTCTGTACCCAGATTTAGCCAACATTCCATAAAAGGCATGGCATCTGTGGTCCCTGCTCTTCAATAGACAAGGTCATTTTATTTTTAAACTATTAGTTAACAGGATAATTGTCATTCCATATGCTTCTGATAATTGTTTACAGGGAAGTGTTGAGGGTATTAGTCATGCTTTTTGTATTTGTGAGCCTGCTCCCTGGTGGAGGCTTGATAAGACTTGCCACTGGGGAATGAGGTAGATGAGAGCTTAGTGGGGGAATGGAGATTTAAGCAGACTATCTTGGATCTGGTTCAGGGAGTATCTAAGGGATCAACTCTAGTTTATTTCACTACACTCAGCCTCCTATTTTCTTCTCTTTTACAGATAATGGTTTATGCTGAATTAACAAGACTTAGGAATCCTATGTGATACAACCAGCAGACAAGTCGGCATTTTATTTATTTATACTGTATATATACAAGAAGGTACATTGGGTTTGAGAGTACAGAGCATTGAAGTTTACAGTCTTGCAAACATATGCACTAGCATGCATAGCATTTCAGGCAGAACACAACCTACTACTGTATCCATGTTCTGTTCATGCAGTTTGTCGCCGAATTACAATAAAAAAAAAAGTGACCAGAAATCATTAAGTGATAACCCAGGCATTTCCCTATTGGTCCAGGTAAATTAAGCCATAAAAACATACTGGGTTATACAGACCTCTTAACTTTAGCTTTATTGGGTCTTGCAATTAAAGGTGCAACATGTGGTCATGAGTTTATTACATGCTTGTCTGTGCACTTTAAAATATAATGTACCAGTAGGTAAGAAGATATTTTCTGACATACTATTTATTAAAAATGGGAACAGTATATTAAGATTTAATGTTGAAGGATTACATTTACATGGCTTTTAAACCTAACAATTAGCAGAGTAAATTGTGAAATTCTGCCAGTGTTTACAAATACTTCCATCTTGTGGAAGTGTTTTGGGTTTCCTCTCAACTCCATTAACCATACAGCCATGTTCTTTGCCAAGTTTCCATGAAGATTTGTTACTTGGCTGCTTGTCAGTCAAGTTTGTAATTGTTTGAGTAGATAGGTAATAACACGGCAATCTTTACTTTTATGTACTAATGCTGTGTCAGTAGCAAGGTGCATTAATGAAATAACTAGCACAAGTAGTTACATTTATTTGGGTTCTACACTAGCTTCTGGAGCTAACAGTTCAAGTTTACATGTGACTTTCTGGGAATCCTGGTAAAACATTCAATTAAATTAATACAGTATTGTAAGTGAATTTGAAATGTTCATAGCCTTTACCAAAGTACCCTATAGTGCTTTTATGGAATGACATTCTATATGAGAAGTATATTTTAAGTTTTTTACTAGTGATGGTACGATTACTTGGTATCGAAAACCTGATGAATTGAGTATTTTTCAGTAATCTGAATTAAGAGAAATTTATCATGACTGTATCCGAATCAAATAGATTCTGGAACATTTAATGACAAAATTAATTTTTATTTTCTTATTTTGTAGATTAAGGATTACTTTAAGTAAACAGGCATTAGCTATACTAATTCCTGTTTACAAAAATAAAATGACAACACAGAGAATGGAAGCTTTTCCATGAACTGTACGAGAAAGGGTGTGTACTGTAGGAATATTAAGATGGATTTACTATACAGGTAGCATATATGTTGTACATTAATGTAAATAATATAGCAAATTTAAACGGTTATAAATATAGTATAGTTTTGTGACTACATACATTACTACTTTAGTAAGAATATCTTCTAGTTTGTTGCTTTCATTCTTATTATGTTGCAAGGCCCATTTTCTTCTGAATATTATAAAACTTTTTATAAGATTTAGGGGGAAGCTATAACCACTATGAATTTATTGCAAAGACAAGCACTTAGACAGGCATCCATTCATTACTGACTCCATTAGTATTCCACAGGGAGCATCTTGAAAAGGTAATGACAGAGCGTGCTGATAAAGGGAGCAAGTTAACATGTCGTGCAGTAAGCTCACAGTCGATTGGTCCTGGATTAGATTCCCGTGCAGGGCGAGACATTAACGCACGTTTCCTTGCACCCAATACTTCTGTCCGCCTAGTTGTAGATACTTCGGAGTTGGACAGCAGCTGTAGATTGCACCCTAGTCAGTTGCCTAGGAAGACCTGCCAATGCCTATTCACCTAGCAGCAAAGAAATATCTGAGAGGTAGTAAATAGTTTTTCATCATGGGGTATCAGTCATTGACTAGTGATAGATAAAAGGCCAATAGGCTTCCTGTCCCCGATACTTTGAAACCATTTGTCATTTCAACTGTTCCCACTGTCACGGAGCAGTAAAGCATCAACACGAAAGAATCCAGAGGACAAACAAAAAAGGTAGAATGAAAATATTGTTCAAATAATACATATAGAGGTAGTCCTTGATTTGTACTGGTATGTTTTAGCAAAATCTTCCCAAATCAAAGTGGGAGGTTCTGTATGTATAAAAAAATATGTTTCACATGCCTCAAATATATATAAAAACTATTTCCACTACTATAAAGGACCTTTTTAACATTAAAAACTAATGCTTCCTCCACTTTCCAGTTACAAATTCAGCACAAAATGCTTTGGATGTGCAATAATGTATAAGTATAACCTAAACAGTTATACAGTATGGTGATACACTGCTGATATTGCTGTATAGCAGACGTTCTGGGTTATCAGTCTGTTTGCATTTAGCATGTAAAATATGGAGTAAACCTACCTACCTGTTAATTTCGAGGATAAATGTCTCTGTGGCCCAGTTTGATTAGGCCTCCTGCCCAAATCATAGTTTAAAATATATAGAAAATTGAGTTTAAATTGTTTTGGAAAAGGGTAAAATAAATAAAACTATTTAGAGTAAGACTAGACTTGATATATTCATTGAATTTTATTACATTAGATAAAGCAGCTAGAATTTAAGGGGATGTAAAGTCATAAACCATGAAAAGAGTAATTTAAAACAAGAGCTGAAGAGGAATGAACATCAATGTGCAGAAAAGTTGCTTTACAGCACATGAAAGGTATTATGAAAGTAACAGGATTCCAATTGTAATGTGAAAAAAGTTTGTAGTCATTTGGAGAAGTGGCAGAGTGTCGGAAGACAATAACAGTAAACTCCTCTATAAAGGGTGTAGTAATAGAAATTAAAATTGTAACACCATAAATGGGTTTTGTATATTATTTTACATAAAACGAGAGTTCAGTCACACAGGATACTGGTGTTAGCAGTTTATCTGCCCTTAGCAATTAAGAAATAACACCTTTAGAGATTTAATGGTCACATTTTGAGTAGGGGTCAGATTGTGTGAAGTGACCTTGCTAACCTGCTAATTGCAGCCGGTTGGCCGTGTTTCCATCAAACAAGCCGCTATCTAGGTGATGTAAGTAGATAGCCAGAGGCTATCTTTTGGAAAGCAGAGCATAGCTTCCGGTCCCCTCATATATACCATGGAACTGTACATTTGAGACATTGAGCAGGACAGCGGTAGGTAGATAGATCGCTTGTCAAAGTTCCCACAGCCAGATTATACTTGTCATGAGCCGGGTGGGGACTATCAGCTGTAAGCACCCCCATCCCCCCTCCATCCCCCTCTCAAGCTTAGTCTCAAGAGACTTTGGCGAGTGAACTTGTAAGGCGACGCATTTTGTGTTTTCCAACTTAGGCGTGTGATTTTCAGGGGCAGTCAGCCATAATGCTCTCAATTTCTTGTATGGTGACTCAAATTTGTGTATTAATGTTGACGTATTGAACATCAAGTGAAATGGGCAATATATGATCCCCATAAGTAAATATATAATTAACTTATTTTTTTAAATTGTCTTTTAGTCTGATCCCTAGATCTTAGATTTTGAAAGTTAGAGTGGAGAGCCCTCTGAAGTTTACTGGCTTAAGATTTTGACAAATATTCTTGGTTATGCGAGTACCTGCTTACAGTTGATACATGATAAAATCAGATATTGTGCAAACAAGTTCCATTCCTTGTCTTATATATAATTGAATGGATGGTGGCAGTAACCTTTCAATCTTTCTACTATTCTAGTACTTTTACTTTCTATTCTGCTTTCCTTACTCTCATTTTCTCCCTCTCATTCTAAACTCCCTTTCTCCTGACCACTCTTCCTCACATTACCTTTCCACCTCTATCACCTTCACCCTTTTCATTTTCCAATACGTTACAGTATAACTTTAAAAAAAAGTCTAGTAGTTTGGAAAAGGGAGGCAATGTAATTAAATACCAAATGTTTTGGATTTTGAGTGCCAGAGAGACTGATGCCTCTGTTATTGTGGCTTTTTGTATAGGACAACTTCAATGTTCACACAGTTTCCGTTCAATTTCAAGTTAAATTGGGATAGTTTGCAATAGGATGCAATTTCTCTATTTATAGGCATTGGGAAGAAATTCCTGACTCCATATAGTACATGCAGGCATCAACATAAGGTACATGTGCAATTAACTGTTCAATTTTTTTTACTTGACATTATTTTTGGATAGAGAAATTTGGGTGAAACCATTTTCCCAGTGACAGTAAATTAAAGATACTCATTGACCAAAATACTGTACAGTATTGTAAATATCTTGGTAGAAGAGTATTGTCAAATTCACCAATGTATTTATGATTATCTGTAGTCTTGTACATAGAGCCAATAAAATAGTGTAGAACAGTGTCTTTTCATCCTACACCCAACAAGCATCAGTGGACTCTCAGCTCTGTATTTGGGAATGTGTTTCTGCTTTGGTAATTTGAGTTGTACAAGATGTCTCATTTAAATCCTTAGTGAACCTGATGCCATTGCTCTTGTCATTTCTCATATTGGTATCCTGAATGGCACTTTGATAATTGCAAGCTTTACACAATTTACTAAAGCCACTGAGGCTGTACAATTGACCCTTGTAGTAGTGCTTCATCATCAAAAACCATGAGTATCTAATCAGTACCTTTATTTTTGTAATGTACTCTTACATTTGTAGTGTCAAGGTCCACTTAAAATTTACGCACTAGATACAAGATTTGCTGTCAACACACTGGTAAACTCTGGTTCAGTGCACAAGCTGCTTAACCATACCCACGATCACAATTAATATATCTCTCGATATTAAAAAGACTACAACCAGTGCAGCAGTGTTGGACCTCATCATTTGACTACTTCATTGCTAAGGTCAAGTGGGTGGTTGATGTGAAGTTAATCACAATATGAAAGGTGGTTAAACAAAGCAAAACTGGTTGGAGAAGATTTCATAATGAATTGAAAAGGAGTCGAGCCTTTGGCTTAGTATCGGGCACAAATTAAAGACTTCTCAAATTTGTTCGATGGTTTAGAGAGGAGGAATGCACCAACCTTTTTCCCATCAGGTGTGATGTATATATTCGATACTTTCCCTTACCACCTATCCTATCACCACTGCCATACAACCTATTCTGACCCTTGCTGCACATCTAATTCTATTTCTCTAAAACTGCTAAACATTAAATCAATCTTGTCACCCCCTCTGACCTAGACAGCATATTCCTCTCTAATACACCTTAAACTAGTGTGTCCTTCCCTCTACACACATTGTCTTTTGTAGCCCACATTTGACACTTGTTCCATAACTGTTGCTACGTTCTTCCCATGATTATTTTAATCCCGTCCCACACCTCAACCCTATTCTCCCACTCCAACTGCCTCTCACACTGCTACTCAACCCAGTCTCTCCCATCCACAGTCAACCCACTTTTTCCTAATGCCACAACCTATTCATACTGCTACAAAACCTATTTTCTCCCCTCAACCTTCCTCCACAACCTACCATCTAACTTATCCCTCCCCCTCACTGCTACAAAGTCTATTATCCACATCCCATTGCCACAACCTATTCACTCCCCATCCCACCGCCAAACAACCTAGGTATGTTCACTACCAAACATCCTATTCTCTACCCCCTTGTCATAACCTATTGTTTACACCCCACTGCTGCAAAGCCTTTTCTCCTCTCCTACACATTTAAATCTCCTTTCACTGTCAAACCTATTCTTTCCCTCTCCCATAGCCTATCACCCCTTCCCCACCTTTCTTTGCTACCCACAAACTCTTGTCACCACACTGCTAAACTTATTATCAATTCTTTCCCCTTCTGCAATTTATTTTCCACCCCCACCTTTTCCTAATCACCCTATCCCCTCCACACCACTGTCCCAACCTACTGTCTCACCTATCCTTACCCTTTCGAATTCTTTACAACCTATTCTCCTTCCATTACTATGAAACCTATTTCCCAATCCCCTCTCACAATACATTGTGCATAGCCACATTATCTACTCTCCAACTTTTCTCTCCCCCAACTCTCAGAACCTATTCTTATCCCGTCTCGCCCTCCATAATCTATTCCCCTCGCCCAACCGAGTATCTCTCCATTCCCACATAATAGGTTACCTCCCACTTAAATATCAAACGCCTCTTCACGGATAACCTATTTGGTCACTACACCTATTCATTCACACCCCTAATCTCTCCCCCTATCATGCATTTTCTAAAAATTATGGACCTGCTGCTACACAATGGAGCGGCAGGAAAATCTGAAAATCTTACCTGAAGCCAGGTATTGTAGAACAGTTTGATGATTGTAAGTGGTGTCCCACCAAACAAAAAAAAATATACGAGGAATTTAAAAAAAAACAAAGTGCAAATTTTGAGCAAGTAAAGTAATTTAAAACAAAAGGAGTAGACAACAAAGATGGCCACAATCATAAGAAATAAAAGTACAACAGGTGGAAATTAAGTGTTTCACTAAGGTAGAAATATTGAAAGGAGGTTCAAGCCACAATGCTGGACAGAAAACAGGAGATATGCTCTTTCAGCCATACGTTTATAAATCCAGGAAGCCGAGAATGCCAAAACCTTGATGCAGTTCAAAATCCAGCTGGATAAACATATCAGGAAAAAATGGAGTGACCTTCGACAAGGCGCTGGTTTCCTGTCCTCGTCAACACCATTACAGAGATGGTGGGCCTATACCTCAGATGACCTTTTACCTATACCTCAGGTAAACCTAGGTATAGGGTTATAAAAAAACTCCAGAGCTGTTAGAATACAACGAGTTTACCATAAAGGAAAAGGAATGTTGACGTCTAAAAAGCAGCTAACAAAGAGAAGGCAAAATTGCTTAATTCGAGCTCCACCGTAGAGATAGTCTAAGGAGGCGGGCGGTTCAGAGGTTTGATCAAGAACAGTGGAATAGCCAACACCGTCGACAGACAAGACCCGTCCATGAACAGGGCAATTGAGTGGGAGCGAGAGGAATAATGTAGGAAGGGTACAAGCCTTCGCTATGCAAGAACGGACTTTTTAAAACTGCACTCCTTGGGGCAAGGTAGGAACAAGAGTAGATACGGCAGACGTGCATCAAGAGAATCTTGCAAACGAGCCATTGTTGTAGGAAAAGGAAGGTAGCAAGAGATCCCTCCCGAGTGGCAGTGGTCCAAGCACAGCACAAGCGGGTGTGGGGACGATAGAGGGACGCCACGAGGTAGTGAAGGCAGTAACTACTACTACTGTGACCTGTAAAGATAGCACGCTTTCAACGTACAAGCTCTGGGTGGTGGACAAACTAAAGGGCTTATCTCGGTATCATGCAGAACATGAAGTTTTTGAAATGTCGAGGAACATTAAGTCATATCAGCAAAGAAAAAGATACTAAATTGGCGTCCACCCAGGAAGGGAGGAGCCGTTGACAAGATGCATCTCTATGGCGGCTCCCAACTTTACATAGTAAAGAGTCAAAAAGAGACAAACCTTGGCCTTGAGGTTTTAATTTAATGCACGAATACGTTATGTCAGAGTGAGTTAGACAACAGACCTGCATTGCGTCTTCTCAGAGAAGTAAGTAATTATCAAAAAAGGCACCAAACCGGGAAGGCTATGTAGCACCATCAAATGTGCGGGATAATCAGAGGGCGCTAAATATCAAGGATGCCAATAGGAGAACAGAAACGCATAAGGCGAGCGATATCAAAAGTATCCAAGTCACCAAGAATACTTGCGGTCGAGGGACAAGCGACCGCGGGGGACGGTCGGAAAACAAGACACGAGCTCGTCCTGGAAGTCAGGACATTCAACAAGTATATGCACGCCCGTAAGAGGGACAATGCAATTTAGACAATAAGGAGCAGGGCGGCGCTCATTAAGTGACCACGAGTTAAGTGAGTATGGCCAATTCGCAACCTCGCCAGAGCCGTTTCCCATCGCCGGTTACGGTGGTAGGAGGACGGCCACGAGGACAACTCTTAAGAGTACGCAGTTTGTTACCAGTAACAGAAGACCAACAAGCCTGCCAACGGGTAAGGTTGGAGGAATGGATAACCGGGTAAAAGTCAGAATATGGAATATCTTTACGAGAGATGGGACAAGAGCGGACAGCTTCCCTAGCGGAAGCATCCGCACGCCCATTTAAAGACACACCAATATGGCTGGGAACCCAACAAAACTCAACCGACTTAAATGCCATTCATGGTTGGCTGCGGCTGCCTCATGATACTCCTAATGCCTATTTTCATGCTAACGTGAAGGACGGTGGACTAGGAATACCCGACTTTGCCACATCAATCCGCCTACAGAAGAACAAGCGGCTCGGGGCGTTAGTAGAGTTGGAGGATCCAGTGGTAGTGGCAGCGGCTCTCCTACCCGCGTTCCAAGCGCGAATGCGTCGATGGGTAGACCCGACCACGGCCGCCGGAACCCCTTCTAACAGAACGACTGAGCGCTCTAGGAAATGGAAAGCAAAACTGTATAGCATGGTCGACGGTGCTGGCCTTGCGTCCTCTTATGAAGTTCCATCTTGCTACAAGTGGGTCACATCCGGTACCCGTCTGCTAAGCAGAGGAGATTTTGCTCATGCCATCCAGATTAGGGCAAACGCTGTAGCCACTCCGTCTAGAGCTGCTAGGGGTCGACCCGAGGCTTCTGGTCTCTGCGATGCTTGTCAGAAACCAGGGACTCTGGGTCACATATCCCAGGCATGCCACAAGACACATGGGGCTCGGGTGAAACGCCATGACGATGTCACCCGGTTCGTAGCCGGCCGCCTGCGGCAAAAAGGTTTTGAGGTGGAACGTGAAGTCCGTATACCGGATGGAGGGACCTTCTGTAAGCCTGACATCATAGCATGCAAAGGTGATGAGGTGATGAGGCCCAACACCTCAAACCAATTCTATTTGCTGACGACACAACCTTCATTTACTCCAGTCCTGACCCTCTTGCTCTAAATGCCACAGTAAATACTGAGCTAAATAAAGTCCATCTTTGGCTAACTGCCAACAAACTCACCCTTAACATTGACAAAACTTTCTATATTCTGTTTGGCAATAAATCCTCTAGTCATATAAATCTCAAAATAAACAATACCCAAATTTGTAACAAATTAGATGGCAAATTCCTTGGCATTCTCATTGACCACAAGCTGAATTTCCAGGGACACATTCTAAATATATCAAAAAAAGTTTCAAAAACTGTGGGCATTCTTTCTAAGATCAGATATATGTACCACGCCCTGCCCTGGTGACTCTCTATTACTCCCTTATCTATCCTTATCTCAACTATGGTATTGTGCTTGGGGTTCTACTACCCAAAATCACTTACGTCCTCTAATTACCCAACACAAAGCTGCTATTAGAACAATATCCAACTCT